AGTCCCAAAGGGCTACAGTGTAAAATTTGTAGAATTGAGACTCCGAAGAAGTCACGAACATATATTGATGTATAGATAACAAGTATCTTTATTTTGAGAGCAATAAGGGCGGTTTTTATTTCAATTCCTATACAGAAATACTGTTAAGAGTATCTATTTACAAATTAAACATGTGATGGATTAGCGGTGGTTGTTTCAACAACTCGTTAATTAAATTCAATTAATCTATACGCGCGGATGTTCAATCGGCCGAGTTAAGCTTTAAACAGACTAGTGTTTAGCAGCGTAACTTTATGGCTAGATTATCTGTAGCAGGAAGTAAAATTATTTTATACAAGTTTTTTTCTGTTTAAGTAGGACAGTTGATCAAGAACATGAAGATTGTTTAATTTAAGAAGCTCAGGGGGTAACCATGACGTCCAAAGTAAGATTTTTTTAAAGATTAAAAAAACTTCAGTGTGGGTAGGAGAAAGAGCTATGCAAGTTGTCTAGCTCTGTCTTCCAACTGGTGTTTTCCTTTTTTCTACTGAATCAACATTTACTTGCATACCAAATTACTTGGCTGAATGTACAACAGTACATGATGATCATACACGTGCAAAATGTTGGATACTAAAAATGTCCTAAACGAGGACTTTCTATCTTCACGCAGAAGTGGGATAGATTACACTCAGCTCGTAAACGCCCACTGAATAATCCCAAAGCCATCTTTCCCGACACCTACGCACTTTTGTCAAGAGTGGGCTTTATTTACTGGGCACTACGGCTTACACGTAACATGTATTTTCTAATCTGCGAGTTCTATGACCTTAGAAAAATGTATTAAATATTTATGCCTCAGAATGACAGGTAAGCGTAATACTTGAAATAGCAACATTTAATGGATTTCCTACGTCTCATGGCTTCATTTAACGCTGTCGTATAAAGAGGTTGCGAAAATTCCAAAGTCAATTATGATAAATTGTTCTAATTACTTATTCTGATTTAATTTATACTCTGACAACTTTTCAAAACAACGTCGCGCGGCTATTTGGGTCAAACCAATCCGTATGCAAATTGATGCGGCGTAACCGAATTCCTAATTACGTTGTTAAAAGTCTAGAATTATCAGAGTACTTAAACACTTAAGATTTGTTTGAAAACATCGTGAGAACAGTTGTAGCATTATAAAGTACACAAACCTCATTTTCTGAATGTCACCATTCTACGTATTTTGTAGATGTGGTGAATTATATTACTTGATTGATTGCACTATCAGAGTTTTATGTGTTTGATAGGGACATACATATTACCTATTATTTTATCATAACTATAACTATACCATCAACGTATTTTAGAAAACAGAATGTACTAAGGGTGACAAAAATGCATGGAGAGCTTAAGGTCGACTATTGACTGACAGGTTTTGCATAACGCTACCATTGATAACTAGATGGCGCTGCTTTTAAATGAAAATAACCCTGCAAAGCTTGAATACTTTACACTACAGAGGCACACAATAAGGTTTTTAATGGTTAAAATAATAATTAAGAAACAATAATACATTTATATTCAAATACACATAAATTATGTTACTTTTCTCATTTCCGAGGACTTAATATAGCGCCATCTAAGTCAAGTCAAGCAAACCAATTAAAAGATGGCGTCAATAATTAATAATAGACAATAATAAAAGTTATAAACTAACCCGCATTTTCGGTAGCTCGGATGAATAAGAATGGTAGACTTATGAAGTCGAAGGGCACCGGTTCAATTCTGGGTTATCATTTTTAAATTCAGGTTTTTTAACAATGGTTTTTTTATATTTTTTTATATAAAATCAATAATAATAATATATAAATAAAATGTTTGACGTTTAATATTTATAAAAGATAACAAAAATAAATATATATATTATTTTAGAATAAAATTATACTAATAAATATATACATATAAATAACTTTTATAATATGTGCTAACTATTAATGTAAAAGTAACATATTTTTCTCACAGATTAAGACTAATACTAAGTTTAATTCTCATAAAGGATAACAAATAAAACTATTTTAGTGACATTATAATTTCAGACATTTATTTCTTAAAACATAATTTTTATTTCTTTCTTATATATAGTGTATACCTTGACCTAATAACTTTTCAGCTAATTAATACATTATTTAATACACTTTATAAAAGATTAATAAGTATTTTAAATCAAAATTGTGTTGTGCTAGTCATTTATTAGTTAGTTTTAAACACAATGTTATAATACGATTCTATATAATATGCAACCTTACTTCTGCAAATATTTTACCTCCCCATAAAATTTACTTAGAGTATTGACTAAAGTGATTCATTTAGTGCATGTTATGACAAAGGCTCATAGCTTAAGTATTCGTTCCAGAACAAGGAAGAAATTGAAGCTAGACCTTAAATCAATAACATTTCTAAGACCGGGATATAGCATTCATTAGATATGGGACGAATTGTTTATAGTAATTAATAAATAAATAATTTATTATTTTGCAATCAATAGCATCTGTAGATATTAATATTGCTGTTATTTTTATTTCTCATATTTAGTCAAATATTAAAATAATTACTGTAAATAACAGTTGCTGGTTATAAAGAAGTCAATAAATTTATCCTACTAACACTAAGTTTAAACATTTATCCATTAAATTAATTATAGCTACCCCGGTCTTGTAATTGCTTAGTCAACAATATCTTTTCTTCTAAGAACTAGTATAGCCGCCATTTTTATCTATCCTATTTCTCCTATCTCGCTGGCCAAGGAATAATCCGTATGTCTGATTCTGACTAAACACTTGCACAATTATGGAACATTACACATAGGACAGTTGGCCTGCACGAACGTTATCACTAGCACATCTTTATGACGTCATTGAGCACATCTATGTAGTTTACACTGTTTGCATCACTGAAGATGACAATGCTCCAGTAATTTTCCTCATAACCTTGCCCCATAAGTTGAAGCTGGTCTGAGTCAATATCACGTCTTCAGCCAGATCCACTACGCGGTGCTCCAATGAACCCTCTTCTTGAAACAGCTTTAGATATCCATAAAGTGGCAGTCTTTACCTGTAAGGGACGTGTATTATTAATTATTATTTTTATGTATCGATAACCATGGATAATAAAATAAATAACGAACGGTCATTTTAAAAGAATACTTACGTTTAATTTATAAGCTTTGATTATGCAATGCTATTATTTGGGCCCTCGTGCCATATCAATATTTGAACGCAAACTCATGATAAAAATAAATATTAAAAACTTGTTAAGCAAATCGTAACTGAACTCACTCAAAGATAGTAAAGAATGTTATGATTGAACAAAAAGGTTTAATTTTTATACAGTTAATATTAAATTACCCTCAACTGTATTGAGATTTATGATCGGGTTAAAGTTTGTTAAACAACTTCAATATAATAAAGAGTAGGATAATTTCAATCAATTTCAAGGTTACGCAATGGCCTAATGGCTAGTGGCATCGGTAAATTTTATGCTACCAAGTTCGAATCCTGGTTATTGCGTGCTTTGCTTTAAAAAGGTTTGGAATATCGTTGCATTAATTTGTGTAAAAAATTATTAAGTTAATAACTTTGTATCTGATAAAAACTATAAATGTATATTTTTCAATACCACTAGTATACTAGCGCCATCTATGTCATCCATGGTAATATTATTAAGGCGATGAAACGCCGTACAAACGATTTTGATTTGGAATCCTCCATGCACTTATGACACTGATAGTACCTGTTTTCCTTTAAATTCAAATATAGTTTTGCTTGTTTTAACTTCCTTATATTATATGTTTTATCATAATTTGATTATTCATTTATGACAAAATTTTTTTACTTTGATTTCAGGTTATAATCACAAAGATGTAGGTTTTATACAAAGACTTTAAATGAAATTTCTATATTTAATAAAATAAATAGTATTACTATCGGCCTAGTTTCAGATTTAAAAGATTACTCAACAAACTAAAACCTTCCGTGGTTTTATCTCAATTACCTCAGCAGATGATGGAAAAAATAAATGTATGACATCATATACAGCGCACCTAAGATGTATGAGTTCAAAGGAAAACTCTCAAAAATACATATCAATTCTTGAGTTTTAAGGTTCAAAGTCTTTTGAGCTTTGAGTGGTCAATGGTAAATTAGATTTGAACATCTGTACAGCCAGTTATTAGTTTCAATTAGGAACAAGTGTCTGGTCGAAAATAAAACCTCATTTGTTTTATTATAGAATTGCGGGAAGGCGGGAAATGGAGGGCAGTGATTCCCACTTATCATATCAATGCAATTTGATATTAATGTACACAATAACAATAATTATGATAGTGGCATTACTCATAGCTTTACCTAATCATAGATTAAATTATACATTTCAATGTGAATAAATAATTGAATTAGTTGCTTGTTTTATTTTAAATAATAGGTAGCTAAAACTGGTTAATCTTGTTTACAAAAACAATCTTATTGAAAAATTCTTTCTTTCCAAACAAGAATTTGTCTGCCATAAAGAATAAAAAGTTTACTAATATGATTTTGGGCTAGTCAAAGATAGAAAGGTACAAGAAAAGAAATCTTATGAGTATAAATTCAAAGCTATTGATTCTATCAAAATTTAATAGTTTTGCACTAAAATTATGATAAATATTGTTTTCCCTCATAAGGAAAAAACCCCTTTATCATGCTGTTTTGGCACAGAGCAAGTATCTACTGATTACTACAGTGTAAACACTGATTAGTAAATAGGTACCCCGTAGAAAGACCCGTTTTCATATCTTCACTATACATTGAACACACACTGTAAAAATTATAACAAACATTATTTTGTCGAGTATGAAAAATGTATCGATCCAATAATCACAGCATATATATAATATCTATTTAGAAAATAGCACAATTTTATCTATATACATTCTATATCTATCATATTCCACGTTCTAATGTAATTATTGATTTATACATGTTATACTGACTTACCTGTAATTGTGACTTCTGCACCCCGAATAGTCCGACCACTATTTTCAAAGTTGTAATTTTATCACACCGTTTATTTAAATTAACGTCCTTCAATTAAATTACTGTCCAACGCGTCCTTGATTCTTTAAACAGATCAATACACAAAAACAGCTCATTCAACGAATAAAGCGTTGGCATTCATACTTCTCTAGTAGGAAGTAACGTCAAAGTTGTCAATCAGTCAGCAGCTGTCAATCTGTCAGCAGATTCAAAATTTTGAAGTTATTGATTTTACGTAAAATTGTGTGATCTAACAAATCACCATTTGATATAATACAGCATTAAGATTTTTTAAGATTTTCTTCAAATAAAATTGGTTATAAATGTGCATAAAAATTTTGTCAAATACTTTTTCTACCTTGTAACATAGCACGAGATGGAGTGTCCGTTCTAAAACCAAATATTGTAAGAGCGAGTTGAAGTTACAAGTTAAAAAGATTTTTCTTAATATGTTTTTAGAAGTTTGTGATTCAACAAATTATGTAATTACCCTGTCTGTTTTCATTTCATAAATACGGGTAAAAACCTTATTTTAGTTTTCTATTAATTTTGTGAGAATTTATTGATTCTGAGTACAGACAGATATTCGGAACGTTGCCAAGAGTTTTTATCTCTTTCTTTCTCTACGTCATTCTCTCACGTTCGATGTGAGGTGTCAGAGAAATATTCGTGATAATTATTAAAAAAATAATTAGATCTTGAAATGTTTAGTATATTTATTTCGTTTGTTAATTATGTATTACTTTAGTAAAGGTGTACCAGTGACGTTGGGTTATCTGGGATTGATATAGCGAAGATATTTTTTGTTTTATTAGTTCATTATGAACTGTCACCAAGTATTAAGTGGTGCCTGTAATTCAGGAGATCAATGTTTTGCTGTTGGTTCTGTCGAAGGAATACCTTTTACAGTAAGTACTATGATTAACGTCCGTGTCATTGTAGAAGGCCAAGTCTCGTGACTTAGAATCCTGTGCAGTGGTACTTGAGTAGTGATGGTCCTAACAGGAAAATCTCATTTAGCCCAGTTTGATAAGCATAACATTTTCGTCAGTTGTTAAATACTATTATCTTCTTTTGTTTATTAATCTATTCTGCCTCATTACTTAGAATTAGTTACAGAGATACAGACAAATGGAATGAGTTTCCTTGAATGCTAATTTGCATCAGTTATTTATAGTTATTTAAATAACAATATTACTTTGATAACTGTGGAGTTTATGGTTTTAACATTGCGCTCCTTACTGCCTTAGATGAATGAATGAAGGCAGAATCTTTCCACTGACAATACATGATCATAATCAGTTAAGTAAATATTTATGAAGATGTGCTAAAATTAATATTGATCTACTTATTCTTCATATGGTGTAAACATTTGTACAGCACAAAGAGTTTTTAGTAAACTTTATGTGTTAAGTATGTTGGATCTCTCTGTGATCTTATGTAACCAAAAAAATAAATTAAAAATCCTGTACATTTTATAAAGATAGATTTTTAAACTTTATGCATTTGTGTTTGATGAAGTCTAAAGGACTAGAATAAAAAAAAATTGTAATGTTTAGTTTCACCTCATTAAGTTTAGAAAATAAATGGTAAAAGGCAAATTTAATGTCACTTTCAATTGTCCTTTAATACATTCTGTTTATTTATAAAATAGGTACTTAAATTTTCTCTAGTCATCCTGAGGCAAAAAGTGTAGTAAAGTGAATGTAACATGCAAAAATAACACTTATTTTTATTGGTATTAAATAAAAATTTTAATAGTCTGCAGATAATATGACTTTTATTAAGTATACAAAAGAGGTGTCACAACTTTTGGTAAATATGTAAATTTTTTCACAGGCATATGCAGCAGGATGCAACATAGTGATCTTAGCCTCCAACTTTGAAAGAGTACAGATTATACCGGGCGCTATCCATGGTTATGTCCGAATTGGCTCATTGGACTGCAGCACTGATACTGGAAAAATAGCTGCATCCTATGGTGCTGAAGTCTGTATATTTGAACCAACACCACTGATACACACAGCGGCTACCACTCATGTGAGTAAAATTACAACTTAATAAAAACCTTATAATGTTAGCTTCAGGGTCTAAAATAAATCATCAAAATATTTGAACAAAAATACTATTCATTTCTATAGTTTACGATTCATTGCTACTGCACTAAAGAATCAATATTTTCATGATTGATTTGTTTACTTTTCATACAAGCAACTGCTAAACAAAAATGAGCCTTAATGAATTTGATAAATCCCTGATAATGATACTGCAGAATTGTTAAACATGATAAAACTATGGTAGATTAAGAGGGATTATTAAGTTGAAGTGTGTATGTTTAAATAACACACGAAAACTAAATCAAATTGTTCTTAAAAATTAAAAAAATAATACCTTAGCATTTATTAATTTATCTAGTTTGTATATCTTTTAAGGTAAATGAATTTCATTATGATAGAAATCTCTCTTACAATGTCTGAAGCCATTAGGTAGTTACTTCATGTAAATTTCTGTAGAGTATATAAATAGAAGATCCTCGAAGATACTAGGTATATGATCTATACTAATTCTAAAAAATAAAAATAAGAATCAGTGCAAAGTATTTTCGTATCCTTTTGACAGTTGTGATGATCATTTAGATGTAAGATAAGAAGCCATAATTAGTAGCTTTAGTGTGATTAGTCATGTATTTCAAATGCTAATATATTTTATTCTATAACTGGCAGACGAATAGCAAAAAGAATTACAGATACATAATAATATGCATTGTGCTATACATAGATACTTTACTATCATTGTTTATGCCAGCCTTCTAGCTAGTGACAATGAGTTCATATGACATTTTAATTGATGTTGTTTAATTATAACACTCCAGTACATAGTAATCCTACAGAGGCTAACCAACTTTTATATTTATGCGTTCTAATTACGCCTATACTTTATCTCATTCTAGTTTAAAAGTCTCGAGAGAGCTGCCAAGGCCATATGGAAACATTTCTATCTCGAAATTTAATACCATTAACGTTTAAAGAAATTTAAAAGGCGACATTAAATATTTGTCTTGTCTCTCGAAATACGTATTAAAAGAGATTCATTAAATTACGTTAGATTAACGATGTATTGTCCGAAGCCGAACTTAATGGCGTTTAGAATTACCATTACGTCATTGAGTTCGGACATTTATCGAATGAAATGGGAGGTTTTCTGATGTTGCGTCATTGCGTAATAGGTCCCTGAACTTCGACGATTATTGATGGCGAAGCGCCAATTGACCATATGAATGCAATTGGCCAATCTTTATCGTGTAGTTTTGTTCACACTCGGATTCATTATTCAATTCACCACAACATGTGACTGTTCAGGGCCTGGAGTACCGGTGGGTGCAAACCGGCAAGTTGGTGGCGGATGGACCGATCACTGCGCTGTCATGGAATCTCGAGGGTACCCGGCTGCTTACCGGCGGAAAGATACTGCAATTGTGGCACCAAGCGTCGCTCTATCAAGATGACAGTCAACGTAAGATAATATTGTTGTCATTCCGTTTTATCTTTTAGTGCTTTTGACAGTTTTTGTTTCAAGTATTATCATAGTTTTACTTACTCGCGTGTTTATCTACAAATCAAATGTAATCGTGATTTCATACGACCTAGAGTTGTAATTGTCTGGGAATTGTAGAGAAACTACTTAGAAGTAGGTATAAATACTGATCTCGTATACATGAATCGCGCTATAATTCACGTTTAACGTGTAGGATGTAAAAATAATATTCATATAACGATGTTAATAGGCGGTCATTTCGCGAGTATAATAGAATCGATTGACTACAGTTTAGGGGCGTGCGTGCCAGTGTTTTGTTTCAGGGAATCGTAACTGGGCATACTTATGTAGTTCATATCAGTAAATACGAATATAAAATCAATGATTTATCTATATAGAACAATTAGTTACGCAAAGAAATAAAATGTAGGAAATCAGTTTTATTGACTAAGTAGATGCGACCAACGCAATGCGGTAGTTGTGGCATTTTGCTTAGCCTTCAATCCTTAAAGAAAATGGTTTGATATATCAGTTTTGAAATTAATCCATTGTAAGATGGACAACTAGAATCTTTAGTACTAATTTATACTCGCCTGTAAATTGTCTTACAAAAATGTGGTTTTATATTACAAAATATTATTTTCGTTCTTTCAGCGAGTTCAGGAGTGACCTTTCAAATAGGTGGTGATAAGGATGAGAAACCAAAGCAGCAGGAGGAAGACGAACCTGTGAGTAAAACGCAGATTGTGATACACTGATAAGATATACACAACAATGTACTCCACCGTCCGTTATCATTGTTTTGTTTATCTATTATATACTGCGAACTTTTATAAGTATGTGTATATAGTAAAGAAACAATGATCAATTAAACTTTACTACACTCTTATGACCAGTAATTTAAATGTTTACATATTGTTATGTTGTTTTAATTGCGACCTAAATGATGCGTCTTTTTGCGTTCATCTTGAATTTACTCGATTTGGGTCGAACGCGGTCGGACCTCTTTGGACACACTGAATTTAAAAACAGAACCGACATTTCAATATCTTTTTATTTATTAAAGAAGGGGATTGATAATCCTGATAAAATAAACAAAATCGAGGGCGAATATTAAATATAATTGTTATAGGTTTGTAAACAGATAAGTTAAGTAAGACTAGATTTTCATTTATGAATTGTATTGAATTTTAAACTTTGCTAAATGACGTCTTGCTTTCGACCTACTTAAACGCTCTCATTTAGGTGACCGCACTATTTCCAGTTACGTGATGCAATTAAAATGCAAACAGATTCGTTAAGTTTTATTTTCACGGCTTTTGGTTCTCGTCTGTACGTTTAATTGATAATTTACTATCTGATATTGTATTCCTATAATCGATGCTAACTTTATTTATCTAATTTGAGGTATTTATTGCTCAAATGTTTCGTAATTGAAATCAGTCAACGTCAAGTTTTTGGTATGATTGTTGTTGTGTATTACTTATACATATGTTTATCTGTTAATACGAGCCAAAATCTACTTTATTGTTTTTAAGTGGAAGTAGCATTTTGTATGGCAACTAAAGGTGCCTAATAAAGATGTTATGAGATGTGGAGAAAATTAATTTATGTTTAATTTTTAAATAATATTATTTTGTCCTAGGGGTGGATATGTGTATGGCAATGTCACACGGCCACACCGGCGCATCACCTCGCTTTCTCACCAGATGGCGTCCTGTTCGCGACATCTGGCATCAATGACAGACTCGTCAAGATCTGGTACCAAAATAAAGGTAATATGAAAACATGTTTATTTAAATCAATTTAATTTAAATCGTAGCGTATTTTATAGCCTAAAGTCTTCCTTGATAAATGGACTAACAAACACAAAAATAATTATGCAATTCGAACCAGCAGTTCCGAAGATTAGCGCGTTCAAACAAACTCTACAGCTTTATAGTATTAGTATAGATTTCCCGAATATCATAATAGTTTGTTCTTTTATTGTCCACCTGTGACATTTAATAATTTCACAATATTTTTATGCTAGCACAATACATTGGAAATTGCCAAACAGATTTTGATATAATTTAGCAAGTAGATAGCCTTGAAAGGAAGATATTTATAACATTTGGTTTTATTGAGATGCAACCAAAGGTCTATTGTTTTTATTAAAATAATAGGTAAGTATTAAAGATATTATCAAACACCTGTCACTAATAATAGCATTTATTGGCGGTTATCTAATAATGTTAATAATATTGATAGTATGTTGTTATATAGAAGATAAGTGTAAATACTGATCTCCATATGATTGGAATGAAAAAAAAAAACAAAAGAAATATACAGTTTAGAGTGTACACTCTATAGTGCTAAGCCTGTTTTTTTTTGTAGATTTGTTATAATATGATATATACAAGTAGTACATATAAATAAATGAATATATAGCCTTTCGTCAGTGATTAAAAGCCTGACTTCACATAGAATCTGATTCTGAGTAAATCCGAGAATCGGTTATTGGTTTTGATCTAGGTCAAAAATGTAGGTACCTCCTAGGACCTACTATCCCATTTTGATCAGTAAGAGTACCTCAAAATTTAATCAGACAAATCTAAATATATCGTAACTCATTAAGTTTCAAAGCATTTACTAAAATCTATAATTAAATACTAACTTATGTAATAATATTATAAAGCTGAAGATGTTTGTTTATTTATTTGTTAGCGCTAATCTTTAAAAATACTGTTTCGTATTATGTTTGTGTCACTACGATCAATAGGAGCCGAGCAGCGGGTGAAACTGCGCGGGAGTTGCTAGTTGAATATATGTACCTTACTTTAAAGCTACCACAAAATCATTTTTCACATTTGTTTTAGAACTTATTAGGCAGGTGGAAATAAATCATTAAAATTCTTTAAGTGAATTACACAGAAGAGGCCCCGCATCTAATGTATACAGCTAGTTTAATACTCATTACCTGCAGTCGGTATTTCAAAGCACGACATTGAAATGACGCGATAATTATAGAAGCAATCTTCGGCAGGAAAATGACAGTGACATCATTGTACTATCACAAAAGAACAATACAATATGCATTCATGTGTTTTTGTTGTTTTAAAATTTGACGCACTACCGCTTTGGTAAAGAAGTGGATTTTACCTACCAGTTATAGCGTATTAGGTTCTTTTTCGCCTACCTCTAAGGAATAAAAAAAACAATTAAGCTATCTTTTTAGGGCTGATTTTTCATTGGTCAGATAAAAGTGATCTGGGTAATAATTATGATGCTGTCGCGTCAGAATGTTTGTATAAGACAGTGACAGCAACAAAAACCAGCCCTTAGTCGAGTTTTACAGCCGAAGTCGTTGTTGTATCTCTCGTATGAAATTATTTATGTCTTAATTAATAGATGGAAGATCAAGTGCTAACTGGCGGAGTGTCTTCAAGCGAAGCCATGTAAAAAAAAAACTCGTAATGTGTACGCTATGACTATGACTTTATAGTTTTTTGTTGTGTAGAAACGGTTTATGCATTACGTTATCCAACTGAGAAAAGCTTAATGAGTTTCAACTCAAAACGGGACCCTTATACATCGCGCAGCTGACTCATTTTAAAATATTCTTAAGTTTCAAATCTTATTAAATCACATATAATAGTCAGATTTACAATGAACACTAGAAAATAAAACAAAATATCTCCATACCGAATGGAATTATAATTAAAACAGTTGATTAAGATAAACATATTTTGAATCTATTATCCTCTAAATCTCCTTAAAGCAAGTTCCACGTAGTTCTAGGTATTACAATAATAAGTTTTTTTAATATGAATATTTCTTTATTACAGTGCTAGCACAGACGCATAATGAACACTCTTCACCTGAACTGAATTACACGTTCATCTATGTTGCCCATCCCCGCGCTGTCACGCACCTGTCATGGCGGAAAACCAGCAAATATATGCCCAAGTGAGTAAACATTATTGTAAATAACTGGATATAAATGTAAATAGTGAGATATTGTTATAGTTTGTAAGTACTAGATTTTATTGAATCCGCCTCTATTATAAGTTGCTTAGTGACGCAAGATTGGACTTTCAAAATAATTAATTATTTTACCGGCTTTTTCGAATTTCTGTTTCAAGTCATCATATAAATTGTAAAATAAATTATTTTTTATCGTCGGTATTAGGGTCGTAAGGCGCGTGCATTCAACTTAATGTATTAAGTAATTTAAAAATAATAAGTTTTTCTTAAAGTTACATAAAATAGTACTCAATAACGCACGTGCTATTTGGCCTAATTATATAAATAATCAATTCATAGTTAAGATGTATTGTGTTTAATGAAGCACGAGTTCACAATCTTCATGTTGTGGTTTCGTTAGTAATTCCTATTTTGTCTTCTCTCTCTTTAAGGAATAAGGGATCATACCGTATCATTTTACACTGAACATTGCTAAGCAACCTCACTCTTTTAACAGAAAACTACTTTTTTCCATTGAAACAGACTTTTTCATGTGATGATGAGATAGCCATTATCTACCCAATTTTGAACATAAAATTAAATTTGCATGAACTATTTTATATTTAAATATGTCTGGGACTAATATGGAAGTGAAACTTGCTTTAAATCTTATTGTCGTCACATGTTTTTCATGTCCAGCTACCACGATAACGACGAAAGGGTCGCTATTTACCAATTTTGTCTATCTCGTCTGTGACTCATTTGGTGTTGCGGGTGCATGGACATCGCTGATCACTTACCATCCTGTGATACGTCTGCTCGTTTGCCTCCAAGTACATAAAAAACAAACACTTTTCTAAAAACGTTTTTATCAAAACTTTCTCTCTCTTTCAGAATTAGCAATATTTGACCAGGCGTTGTTGAGTTATGCGCTTACCAAGATATTTTGTGAATCATTTTTACACACATAGATTTAATTATACAGGGGCAGCGTAGGCAACGTGTTGGTAACGTCATGCGTGGACAACATCTGCCGCGTGTGGGCGGAGACTCTTCTGCCGGAGGACGAGTGGGGGGGCGGCTGTGTGACGTCACACTCGCGCTCCCCGCCGCGTCGCCAGCGCGCCACGCATCGACACAAGCACCGCTTCATGCAGCGCTTGAAGCATATGAAGTATGTTTTCTTCCATATTATTTAATTTTATTCTTTATGGATTTTACAGGTATCTTTCAAGTCGTAAGAAAACGTTGTAATGTTAATTTAGTTCTGATTGAATCCTTGTCGCTGACGCATATGCCCTTGCGTTTTATTTTTTTACTTTAATATTATAAACACCTCAGCTGGGGTTGCGGGGTAAGCGCAATGCGGCACCGCACCTCGGACCAGAGCTGGGGAAGGAACCGGGGGGATTTTAGTCAGTAAGAGTCTGACACTCTCTCTCGCCTTACCCAGGGCGGGAGAAATCATTTGATAATATTCCCCTGACAAAAAAAAATATAAACACTAAATTCAAATAAATGTTATAGGGAAATTAGTATTACATGGGACCAACATGTCGTTGTAAGTTTTGAGTAGGACTAGATATGTTTCAATTATGCGGCTAGTAGTATAATACTAAAATATACCAAAACATAATCGGCATTACCGGCATTACGGGCTTATTACCCGTAGTTACAATTCCCAACCAAATATCGTGTCTTATTAAAACAGCCTTGAATGTAAACTTTCCTCTATGATTCACGTGTTGCTAGACATTTGTGAGCGCCGCGCATGAACGATTTCAGCTGCACGCGATATGAACATATTTTAACGAACACTCGACAACTTGTTAAATAATATAAACAAGATCTTCTACTAAAGAAAACAAGCAAACATTTTAAAAACGAAAAACAAAACGACAGTATGTATTGCGGGCTTAGTGTTTTAATTCCATTAGTGGTTATTTGACTGCATAGCTGGCGCGGTAGCTGGGGGGAACTATTGAAATACATGGAAAGTATTTCGGGTTTGATTGCCCGCACTGAACACCACTTTGTGTGATGAACAAATTGTTGGGTGTGATATGTATGTGACTTAGTATGATTGTATGTGTGTTGTGGCAACGTTAAAAAATATATATTACTAACCTTCTTCCATACATTGGCCACAAAAATCAGAGTCTTTTACGAAATCTTATTGTTATAAGAAATTTTAAAATAACGAATAGTTAGCCAATTGTATTTCGACCTATGGTAATGATCGCAATGGATACATAGGCGGACTTAATGCCTTGGGCATTTTTTACCAGTATAGTCTCGGGTGATGCAGAGATAAGCCAATGGTTGAAGTAAGAAGCAAGCAAAGAGACAATTAAGTTACTCCTTCAAGGATTCACCCGCTCCTTTTGGTCGTAGAGTGATGTTTTATAGTCCATAACCTTTCTTGATAAATGGACTAACCAATACAAAAAATATTATTTAAGTCGACCTAGTACTTAGAAAACGAACAAACACACTCCTTAGTTTTAAAATGCTGTTATAACAACAGCTATAATAACACAATATACGTATTGTTAACGTTTCTTCCAGAACATGTTTCCACATCAGACGGACGGCGCAGTCGTCCAAGCAGCCCGGCGCGCCCATACCCACGCTACCGTCCACGTACAGCGCGCACGACTTCCACAACCCTTACCATGTCACCTCTTACACTGGAGGTAGGTTGCTAACAATTCTTCTATAATATCTCCCAGCAGCAGTATTACCGAACCGACACGACCTTCAAAGGTTCAAGAAAGGAGCGGACTCCTTTCTAAAAGGCCGGCAACGCGCCCGTGACTCCTCTGGTGTTTCAGGTGTCCTTGTGTGGCGCCGATCGCTTACATCTAGGTGACCCGTCGGTTCGTTTGCCTCATATTCCATAAGAAATAATCTATATCGTTATTACTATTATTGAATCGTATCTACTAATACTATACATAAGTCACGTATAGAAGATTGCAAATATAATATCATTACGTATGGTATGGGAAAAAAAAATGAAATTGAATAGTCTGTTACCCTCTCGCATATAGGATAGCGGCCGCGTCCACTTCTTCCCTATATATGGCAACACTGATAATAAGCTCGCTACCTATCAACTGTTCGCATCGCGCCCCATCCAAGTCGGGAGAAGTAGAACACTCCAACCTAAAAAAATGTCACAAAAAAAACAGTGCCACACATGGCCAAGCCCAACGTTAGAAGTTTAAAAAGAGAGGTATCGGGCTTGAGTAAGGACTAATCATCCCCTGATATGGCCCTATCGCAACCTTACTGCCACAGCTATGCACAAAGCTCTCTCTCTCTCTCTCTCTCTCTCTCTCTCTCTCTCTCTCTCTCTCTCTGTCTCTCTCTCTCTCTCTCTCTCTCTCTCTCTCTCTCTCTCTGTCTCTCTCTCTCTCTCTCTCTATCTATCTATCTATCTATCTCTCTCTCTATCTCTCTCTCACACTCTCTCTCCGATCTCTCGCAAATAAAAAAATCTGATATAGTTTAGTATTTCTATGACAGAGAGGGAGTATAAAAATATGTTCTTTAAAATGTTTATTGGCGTATAAATAATGCTTCCTGTTTATGCATGACTAACCTTAGTATACATCATAATGGTACTTCATGTTTATGAGCAATATAACTTTTAAAGGTGTCTAATGCTGATACCACTAAACTTAGAGACTGACACGTATCTTGAATTATTTCTGTGTATATCATAATGCCTGCACACCAAAGCATAAACGAATTTATGAAATGAAACTTAAAAAATCTAATACCTTGGTTAGGAATCGATCATAAAAAGTTGTTATCAAATCTTATTCAAGATAGTTGCCCTTGAAACGCCTAGATCACCATGATAGGTTAAACTATGACAACATGATAGGTTTTCGTGTCGTGGCTGCATTAACAAACATAGCCATTTACATTTCATATCACACCCAACCCGGAACAACAATCTGTGGTTCACAAAAAGAGTTGTTCCGTGCGGCAATTGAACCCGCCACACGTTACACGGCACCTTGTTTGTCCAGCCACCGCACTACCCGTGCAGTCATATTACTATTGTTTCTGATATATTTATTTTTGTCTCCCAGGTCTTCACTTCCATCTGGCAGCTTCAATAAACGCGGAGACGGATATTCCTCTGGTACCCTCACTGGCAGGCGGCGGCCGCTTCATACTGCACTGGCTACACAACAAGGAAATGCACTTCACCAGCCAAGCCGAAGCCATACTACATGATCTTACTAAAAAAGTAATATCCTTGTTTTTGTATTTATAACTATCGTGATAAATAGAAATACCAAGAATTTGGCATATTCTCTTAATGTAAAATTTTCGAGCAAGCTCGATTAATTTCAAGCCACGTTTGTGCAAACCCCGTCTGTGGCTTGAAAGTATTCGAATACAGAAATTAAAATTGATGATGAGTAGGTAAATCATTTCATAATGTAGTAATTGTTAAAAATTTTTTTTTAGATATTAGACAAAGAAGAAACGGATGAGGGAGGATCAACATCAGATCATACTGCCCATCCAGACGGAGAACATGAAAGTAAGTTTTGTGGTTTAACATATGAACAGTCGAGACTTTGTTGCCAGCTGACAAGTAAATTTGAACCTTGTAAATTGAGAAATAAGATGCAAATTTCAGAAATAAGTAAGGATCCAAATTCGTCGTATAAAAAAATTCAAGACGATATGTTGGTATATTTGATAACCATGCTTCCATTATGTAAACGCGTTATACAGCTTACCTTGATTCAATGTGCTAATTTATTAAGCGATTATTTACCTTATTGTAACGTGAATAAAGTTGATATTTATCTGTATTACCATTGGTATTGTGTCATAAAGTAAGTTTAATAGGACAGTAGTATTCGCAAACGAACATATTATATAGTATCATTGTATTTAAATACAGCTTTTGGATATAATTTTAAGTAAAACGCGCTTATTTATGAAGCCATATTGCTTAATTTATTTCACGCTGCCTTTAGGACATAGACGTCCAAGTCAACATTTAACTAAAATGCAATCTGAGGATAACAGCAATAGTGATGAACAACCAGGTAACGGAATATTGATGCTGCATGCTTTTAAAACGTAGTACATAGGAATAAAGTTCTTGTGATTCATATGTATTGGTTTACGAAAATCACCCGTGTTCACTGTGACATAAAGTTGATGTTCTTTTCGAAACTCAACTGTGTGACATAAAAAAATGACCATTCTAAACCTTCGATGTATCTTCGATGTATATTATGCCATCAGTTTATGAACACCCGACTAACGTTTTTGTTGGATTGTTTTCATAATAATTTATTTCATTAAATATTAGCCAGAAATGCAAGGGTCTTCCACTATTGATCTCCCCCAATCCAATGATTTCCCTACATAATTACAAAAACCATAGAGTTGCAAATGTAAAACTGAATCCGTAAACCTTATTTAGGTGGAACACAACATTTAACCTTTTCAAACCCGTCAATTTCAAAAAATCTCAACTTTATCATAAAAGCAATAACGTTCCGAATTCCTTAACCTTATCCTAGTGGGACACGACTTAAATATGTCTTTTCCAAATCCGTCAAGTTAAATAGATCCTCAACCTTGTCGTAAAAGTAATAACGTTCCAATTCCTTGAACCTTATCCAGGCGGAACGCAACGTAGTATAACCTTTCCAAATCCGTCAAGTTTGTTAGATTCTCAATCTTACCTCAAAAGCAATAAAGTCAAATATCTAATTTGTATGTATTAATACAGGTAGCGGCAATCATAGTCATCCGAGCCTTTCGAACACGACCTCAATAAACTCGATAGCGACTGACGTCACATGCACACACCTACCCGACTCGCTCGACGCGAAGATTGAGTCGTTATTACGGGATTGGCATCAAAGTCCCGATCTTCTGTTCTCAATACATCCTGTTGATGGCAGCTTTCTTATATGGTAAGTAATTTTGATTACGTTTTTTTGTGCTAGAAATATAATAACTTAAAAGTTTCATGATATTTCATTTGTCATTTTTTGAGATTTTCTTAATCTTAAAAAATAGAAAATAAACCTTTTGTGTGTACCGATACTCTTTAATTCTCTATTTATCATCATGTAGAGTAAGCCAAATATGAAAATCGCATTTGTTGTATAGTTTTGAACTGCGCAGTGTATGCAGATTATGATTCTTATTGTTGCCAGAGTCAACATGTTATATAAGACTAGTCTAAATTAATTATTATGTTTTCGGCTGACTCACGTAATAATTTAACTAGATTCTCGACTAGTTTCAAGCCATGCTAGAGGCCCATATTCATGAGCAGCGAAAGTTATAATAAAAAAAACTAGTCTAGACGTCTGGCAAATCCATCCAGTGCCTGATCTAATCAATAAATTAAACTTAAGTTAAACAAAAAATTTAAAACTAAAAAGAAAAAGTAATGATACAAATTGAATGATGATTTCTCTAACATAGTTATTACTTATACAGAATGCACTGGATAAAGTGATTGTTCATCAGATATATCATACCATTCTGTATTTCCAACAAACTTTAACAAGGAAATTCGTACAGGGTATGCGAATGGCTGGACGAGTTACAAGCTGGAGCGATCAGACAGGCGCAGGTATCGTTCTCAGCGCGGATACCCTCGGCCTTCCCTCTGGGCGACGCCACAACTATGTGCACTCCCGCCGCATTGTACCATGCAGCCGCGCAGCCCTTGTATGTACGACACCGGACTAAACCTGTTATGCCGAGTAAGTTTTTATGCTCTTCTACATGCAAATAGGGAGTAAAAAATATCGATTCCAATTCATTCTAGACTGCTTTTTGTCAAGATGTACACATAAAAAAACTAAGTAAATATGTTTTTAAATGAATTTAGTTTCAAAGCAGACTTACTGTTGAAGTGCTTCAAATAAAAATATATGTTTTTAGTAAAGAGTATGTATGAGTGTGAGATCCATCAAGAAAAATTATAATATTTTAAAAGTCACCGGATCTACATCTACATAATCTTCTTTATCTTTATCTCTTATTTTCTGTTATGGCAGTGGGACCACAACAACCAGAAGTAGTGACGACACCGCTAGCGAGTGTCCAAGAAGAAAAAGAAGAGGCTGAATGGCCGCAAGGCGAAGAACAAAATGAGAATCAAGAAAATGGTAAGTGGAATATAATTAAAGTTAATGAAGGTTTAAACAACATCAAACCTCATTCATGGAATGAGTTATTTCGTGTTTAGTCATTATTCATCAGTGAAATGACAAAACGAGCAATCAAATAGTCACATATAGGGGTGGATTTTGAATAAAAATTCAAATGTTAAGTTAATTTTGTATAGCTCTCCACTTCGTTTACCGCACAATGCTAATAAGGCGCCGCTTCTCATGCATGAAGCGGGTTCGTTAACCTTGCAAGCACTAATGTGGCTTTTTCTGAGTTATATATGCACTTTCTATGGTGTTTTCCTATACTAAGGAAAAGTGAAGGAAAAGGCTCTTAAGTTTGGAATCGCCAATCCGCCTTTAGCAAGCGTGGTGATTAATACTCAAACCTTCTCCGAGTAAAAAGAGGCCTTTGCTCAGCAGGAGGCACTTATAGGTTGATGTGGCTTGAAACCAGTCGAGTCAATTTGCCAAATAGTAACTCGAGTAAGCCATAAAATATTATCCAAGATCATGATGTTCTTACTGTTTAGGGAATCGAGAAGAGAACAATAATGAGATGCAACGGAAGACGAGTGTGGCAACCGAAGATTTGGGGGAGAATCAAGAAGGAGACGTGTTGGACTCTGCGCCCGTCATATCCATGGTCACCAACCACACCAATGGAACCCTAAATCTATGGCAGTTGACCTTCGATGATAAGTCCAAATTTTCTCAGGTAAATTCATAATATAGAAACATATACATAATTATCACATGAAATTATTATTTCGATATGACTCGTGTAGTAATGTTTTAAGCAAAACTATGAAAACAAGAAACGCAAAGAACTAACAATAAGTCAATAATGTTATTCGTACGTATAGCTACCTAAGTACTACTAACATTTTGATACAAGAAAACTTGGGTCAACGCAATAATGTGCCGCGCCTCCGGTCTAGAGCAGGGGAAGGAACCTCGTTATTTTTAGTCAGTAAGAGAGACACTCAATCATCGTAATCCAGGGAGAGAGAAGTCAATCGTTTATTAATAATCTCTGATTAATAAAGCTTCCTTCTGGGCTTTTACAATACCTTCTTTATTCGTCAAACCCTCGCCAAACAGTATAATAAGTGGTTGTGTTTTATTTGTTACAGGTGCTATCAATAGGCCATGCTTCGAGGGCTTCAGGGCACAGGTTTAGAGTAAACGACATTACATGCCATCCAGTATTACCTCTGCTATTAACTACGAGTCATCATAATATATCTGGTAAGTTAGTACATCATAATATATTTTAGAATAATATGTGAATGTTAGTTACTGAAAATATGTAGGTAATATTTTTGTAATAGTAAGTAATTTCTTGAAAATCGAATACTTACACCCAGTTTCTGAAAGGCTTGTCAACGCTAAAATTAACTAATCTCCTGTTAAATCTTTTGTCAAGTCATCTGATTGGTTGACTGAATTATCAACAACCAATCAGATGACTTGACATGAGATTGAATTGATTTTAACATTGATCGGCCTTTCGGAAACCGGCTGTGAATCACTTCTAGTTTAAGATCAGATACATCTATGCTTAAAAGTATTTTCAATGGAACTTTAAATTCATTCTAACAGAAAGGTATTGGGTGTAGGTCGGAATTACGAAGAAGTTATGATACGCCTTCTAGTACCTACTACGGAGCTTATTCATAACGTTTAATATACATTAGTTACAAACACTAAATACTTATGATCAAGAATTTTACATAAAATCATTAGAAGTTTGTATGGAACATGGTTGTAAACGATAAGTCTGATCACCTGATAACAATCAGTCTTCAATGGACACCCTCAACACCGAAAAGTTAGTAACCAAGTTAGAAAGTAGTTGTTAAATATAAAAAAATTGGGGATGTTGAAAGTAAAGCTTAAACCTCCTTTCACCTCACTTATACGTAACCTTACAACTTTCTTCCTTTACAGATAGCGAAAGGGATCATCACAAGTACGACGATGACGCAGCGGCCGGCGGCCTATGTTCGGAGCTGATTATGTGGAGGGTCGAGTGTGTAGGACCGCTCGGCAAGTCCGGTGGAGTGTCCGAACTTGCGCGGGTTAACTCTCCACATCTATCAGCTTTCAGTAACGTTGCCTGGCTACCTACGTTGTTGCCGAGGTAGGTTGTTATTGCGCGGTTTCACCCGCTGCCCGGCTCCATTTGATCTTACCGTGATTTTTCATAGCCTATAGCACTCAGGAACATTGTGGCTATCTATCAGTGAAATAATGTTGGCAATCCGACCAGCGGTTCCAAATATTACTCCCTAAATACAAACTTACAAATGTTACCTCTTTATAATACTAGTATATATAGCAAACTAGTCAAATGCTATTCTAATGTTGCTTATTGCTTAACGTTTCTGCAATCTTGAGCCTTCGTTTTTTTAATGAAAAACACTCAAAGGTTACAATACTTCATGTTGAAGGTCATAATTTCCAAAAAAAAATGTCATAGCTGTGTGCGTCTGTCTGTGTGTGTGTGTGTGTGATTGGGTTAGATAAATAAGTAAGAGGCATTGAGATACAAACTTACACTTATTGTATAGCGAAAAAAAAGAATGCTGACATAAACCTGTCAACAAATTTATATGTGTATGTTTTTTCAGTACGACTTTGGGCAACTTATCAAATTCACCATCAGCGTGTTTCGTGGCGAGTGATGGAGAGAGTTTACGTGTATTCCAAGCTGTGATAGACGCGCGTACATTGCTGGCTGAGATAGCCACCTCCGAGAGACGACATAAAGATGTAATGGTAAATGTATACCATCATTCATTTCATTCATTTTCATGCCTTTAAGTTTCAAACTAGTCAAATTCAATACTTTTATTCAAATATCAAAAATTATACTTTTATTTAAGAGTTTTGTATGAACTCTCTCAACATATGACGTCATATGGTTCTTACGTCAATTATAAAACATATTTCTGAAGAAAAATTTTGTGTTGAGTAGATTGTCAAATCGTTCGAATGACAGTTTGTTTATATTTGAATAATTAATTGTATCGAAGAGTAAAAATAATTTCTTTTTGATAATTATCTAAATGATAGTTTTCCAGGTCCAAAAGAGTTTATGTTTGGTTTGTAATTAAATAACGCAATAGATATAGATAAAAATAAGAGAAATAAATTAATTTCTAATACTTTATTTATTTAAATTAAGCTTAAAGGCTTATTTCCTAAAAACAAAATAAAAAGAAGAATTATTTTAAATTTACTTTTCTTTTCGTCATACAATTCAGACATTTAATAGGACATTATTTGACATTGTTCATTGCTTTCACCTCAATGTCATTCAAGTTCTTAATTCTTTATTATAAAGTTGCTTTTCCAATAAAACATTTCTTAAATACCTGTCAAGTTCTTACTTATTTATCTTAAAGTTGCTTCTCCAATAACAGATTTCGTAAACTATATAAATGAATACTCAATATCAATAACGTTCTTACGCCTTAAGCATAAAGTTCCTTTTGCAAGAAAAACAAATCTCTACTTGATGTTTGTACAGCACGATACGATGTCGATGTCGTCGGAGTCGACCCTGGAAGAGGGCGGCGGGGTGCCGCTGCACGACCGCATCAAGATAGTGTCGCAGCAGTCCACGGCGCGGCCCGGCGCCATCATACAGCTCCACGCCATCGCCGACGCCACGCACGACTGGCACAACACGCAGCTACTGCATGTCTTCCAGGAACAACTCATCACTGGTATGATGATATTAATGAACCAAACATTGACAACAAAATCTATAGTAACCTTCAGAATAGAACCCAGGACGACATAATAATGATTTTTTTTCGAAAAACAAAACTACCTAATACTCACACTGAGAATCGAATCCAATACCATTTGTTTGTCTGTCGCAATTGCAACCACTTGAACAGTGGATAAATGGAGAGTAATGTTTCGACAATGTTATACTTTACGTTAAGCTTTCGCGTTGCATATTCTTATTTATTTGTTTTTTGTTTGACGTTTCAGCAGGTAATAAAAGGTGCGTGCGCGTAAATTCCCGTAAAATAGTAAAGTATTAATATGCAACACGAAAGTTTAAATGTTATACTTAATTGCAAGCTTACACTTATATCATTGACGTCCATAAAGTTAATGAAGGTTTAAACAACATCAAACCTCATTCATAGAATGAGTTTTTTCTTGTTTAGTCATTATTCATCAGTGAAATGACAGAACGAGCAATCAAATAGGTTAAATGCAACACGAAAGTTTAAATGTAAATCTCAATTGCAAGCTTACACTTATATCATTGACGTCCAAAACAAGGAAGTTTAATAATTGAAGATGATTTGTCAAGTATTAAGCCACGGTAAAAAAGCTCAAAGAAACTTCTAGGTCAATTCAAATTTCAATCTATACCAATATTATAAAGCTGTAGACTTTCTTTGTTTGTTTCAACGCACTAATCTTCGAAATTACTGGTTCGAATCGAACAATTCTTTTTGTGTTGGATTGCCTAATTATAAAAGAAGATTATAAAAGGCTATTAAACATCACGCTACGATCTGTGGGAACCGAATAACGGGTAAAACCTCGCAAGAGTAGCTAGTAACAAATATAATTTATCCAATTTAACAATAAAGTCGAAATTTCATTACCGACGAACCGTACTTAATTTCTTCTTTAGTTGATCTACTTTCTTTTCTCAGGCGAACGAACGTCAGTAGAACCAGAAAACGCAGACTCGGGTCTAGAAAATTCTGAAGTGAATACGTTAACAGAAGCCGGGTTAGAAGCTATAGTCGACTTACGTAAAGCTGCCGTCTTCAATGAGCCCTTCTATATTGTCGTACTAGAGAGAACTGATGGAGGATCCACCGTGCATATGTGGAGGTTGACTGTGTCATCACAAGCTGATCCTAATGGTAAGCAAAATTGAAATATCTATAAAGTTTTAGTACTTGTCTTTCTGAATAATGCACTTGAATTTTACTACTCTATAGTTCGTTCCATAATTAGAGACAACGATTTGACATTTCGAGTGTTGCAAGTTTTTTCCATTTCATAAATAGTGAAGTCCCGCGACCGGTATTGACCGAAAGACCGAAATTAAATTCTGGACTTCGTGCATTTTAAAAGCTTTATTATTTTTAGCGACTTTCCCTGATACCTTCCTGTGCATACTAACTCAGTCGGGTTAAAATCACAATGGTAAGGAGGAAACCGTAAAATAGTGACCCCCCTTTTAGCAGCCATCAGTCCACGACGTATCGTTCATAATTACTCTTCTCTTTCCGGAAAATCTCCAACAGCTCGGCTTTCAGCATAAGTTCCTCAAATATAATGGTTTTCTTTTAGCCAATCTTGGATTTCGCATTTTTATTTTAAATTATTATTATTAATTCCACTAAACTATAAAAATATCACGGCAACGTTGTTTTATTTTGCTCAGGGTATTTTACAAAAAAACGGTATCGGTAAATAAAATTTAAAACCGAGTTTGGCCCGAGTACGATGGGCCCATCACTATGTTCAAAAATCTGGCCACATTATTTTGTAGTTTGACATTTGCTGTTGTCAAATTGTTGTCTCTAATTATGGAACGAACTATAGTCTCTACATGATCAAGTATCAAATTATTCTACTAGTCAATATAGCAAGAAAATCTTTTGAACATACTACTGGGGTGGACAAAGAGCAAATCATTTCTATAATGTAAGAAAATATTGCGATAGTGCTGGTAAGCGCGCTACTCAACAACTGCTTGACAAATTATAACAATACTTTTTTATACTGTTTCGTACTGTCTGGAAAAGGTTCTTATGGAAGAAAATTTTGGAAAAGTAGAAAGTAAATTGGGAAATAGCCGTCCTTTCGCCGTGTGCAATGTAGTTGGTCACTTGTGTAAAGCAGGTAGCAGCCAGCTAGTCTATACTTTACTAATATTAAAGAGAATTTGTAAGTTTGTATTTAGGGGGTAATGTTAGAAACCGCTGGTCGGATTTGCAAAATTCTTTCACTGATAAATAGCTACAATGGTCCTGGCTGTTATACGCTATAAAATATCCGAGCAGCCGAAACCGGGGGGCAGTAGCTAGTTTTTTTTTATAAAATATCAAAAACTATTAAAAAAACGCACTTTCTTGTAATAATGGTGAATTACCTCAAAAATATTATTGATTTTCTTGCAGAGGACCTTACGAACAGTATGATGTATGTGCCAGACAGTGCCCTGGTACAGGAAGACGAAGGTGAATCTCGCAAGAACTCCGTGTCTATGGACAACGACCGCGCTCCTCCTCCCCCTATTGCACATTCACACATCTCTATTTCTACTAAAAAGGTAAGGTACTAATAAATAGTAGAAATCATAATGTCTTACTTCTAATGTATCCTTAATCTGTAACGCAGTTTTTTCTTAATGCATAAACAAAATTAAATTAAAAAGGGGGGCGGAAATATAAATAAGATTGCTAACCTCTTTCGACAGATTTGTAACAAATTCCGAACTTTTAAAGCTACTGTGACGAACATAATTATCTACTAATATCATTATTCATAAAAAAAAATTCATACCACGTAAATTAAAATATTCATCATCATCATCGACATCTCTTACTCAACCATGTGGGCTGTAAAAACAATTCTATGAACTCAATATTGCAGGTATGTGAATGCCCCCTATCTCTCCCTGATGGAGTGGACGTGATCCACGCGACCCCGGCGGCGGGACACCTGAGCTCAGCGTCCATATACCCAGCCTGTCTAGCTCCCTACATCATGGCTACCGCCTGCTCCGATAGCACTTTGAGGTAAGGATACCTTCAAACCTTCAAAAAAGGATATTTATTTTTTAAAGGTGCCAACGAACTGGTAACACTACTGGCCGACTATCAAATGATCCTTCTAGACGTTTAACCCCAATTCCATTAAAAAAATCAGTACTAGACTTATTACTAGTATCATATTACAGGTTTTGGAAATGCCACGTAACGAAACGGGATGATGACGATTTCGACTATGCGTGGAAAGAATGGGAAATGATGAACAAAGATCAAGAGTCAGCAATAGATATTCCAGGTAAATATCCAGGTTTCAACCTAGAACACTAACTGACCGTAAATAAATCAATCTACATAAAATACGAGTAGCCAATGATAAGGCTCTCCTATTAAAAGGAGTTGGTTACAATTTCTATACTTTCAGGTCAACCGCTCCACATAAGCGCTGCGTACTCAGGCCGTATTGCGTGCGCATACAAATGCGGGCGTTCGTTCACGCGACCGAAGGGCGGGACGACCACTCCAAGTACAACGGACGCTCGCTTCGTGAACCTTTGCGTCTGTGTCTACGAATGCGAGAGTACGGGTGGGGCAGAGTGGTTACTAGAAGATACAATACCTCTAAGGAATGTTAGTCTACCTCGAGTTGGACTTTGTACCGACACACAGATTGATTTGTCTTATTTACACGACACTTCCTTCGTTCAAAAGAGGCAGCGGTTGAATCAGGTATGAATCTCTGTTGATTAGAGTTTATATTAGTATTTTAACTACCTTATTGTACATGCTTAGCAGGATTTGATCAGTACGATCCGGGATCAGACAAATTTGTGTCTTGAAGAACTTATTATAAAGATGATAATAAAACTCTCCACCTCTAGTCATAGCCGAGAACTAAGTCAAATTACGCACAAATAAACTGACCATTTATTTTATCCATCAAATCAGTAGCATACTACTTGTAGGTGCTCCAAACGCTATCATCAGATGAGAGTCGCAACAATCGCAACGGAGAAGGCGACACGGGGAAGTCGGCAGGCTTACTCGCAGTACCATCATTCAGCACTTTACAATCCCTTCGCAAGAGTATTATGGAGAATGGAAACACTTGTCCCTTGACTCAAAAACACTTGGTACAACTAGACTGGGTGTCTAAGGAAGATGGTTCGCATATTTTAACTGTAGCTGTTGGATCCAGGGTGTTATTGTTCACACCAGTCTCCAGTGATCTTGCTCAGGCCAACTTGAAGGTAAGATTTGTTCTTTTCTTCAATATTATATTTAACTAGCGGCCCGCCCCTGCTTCGCACGGGTCCATCTATCTTGCTATCAAAGGGTCACTTTTCCTAATCTTCCCCTTTTCTTTTCTAATATTATCTTTGATAACACCTCCTGACAATAACTAACAACAAAAAAAGAATTAGCAAAATTGGTCCAGGCGTTGTTGAGTTATGCACTTACCAACACATTTTGTGATCCATTTTTATATATAAAGATATGCTAGTCAAATTTTTCACCCATTTTTATTTTTTCAATATTGTGTCCAACGAATAACTTTTGATTACGAAGAAAGACAATTGAACTAAACCTCATTAGACAATTGAGAAACGAATTCATTTCAAATGTTTAGAACATTTGCAGGCATTTGCGAACACTGAAGAACATAAGATATCGAGATGTCAATCTTGCGCAGAGTTTCGGGAAAATAATACGGTTACTTTTGCTTTTTATTGTGTAACAATCATAGATGTACAATCATTACTAGTTTGAATAATAATTTTGACACATTTTGGATAGAACTTATTTTAAATTCTACCTGTAGTAGTCATATCTTATGACAAAATGTCTTTAATAGAATTCAAATTAGTTATCATAAACATGTTAAAGTTGACAGTATTAACTGCCATACAAAGAGTCATTTTGCAATTACCTAAACTACCATTCCATATTAACGATTTTCTTTCGAAAACAGTTGCTTAAGACTGGGTTAAGTGTCACCAACTGACTCTGTGTACGGCATTTATTATTTCTGGTTGATAGAGATAATGCATAGTAATTAAAAATTTAAAACGTCATTTATAAATATATAGTTGAACGGACGGATGGAAAAAAAAATTGACACGTATTTTTTATTTTGTCAGAACAATATATTAGTATGAAACAAAGTTAAAGAATATAATTAATGTAAAACGGTAAGGTAAGAACCCTAGTGACGTAAAGATTTTTTGTGATTATCATCCCTATTATAAATATAATAGTGTCAAATAGATCAGTGTAGAAAGTATTTCGTGTCGTTTAGGGTTGCTCCTGAAGTGGCCCACGAATGAGCGATAAACGACTCCTTTAGTACTAGGCGGGGGCCTAGTACTAAAGGAGTCTAGTACTAGGCCCCCGCCTAGTACTAAAGGAGTCGTTTGATCGCTATTCCTCCTCCAAAAAAAAACACTTAGAATAGAACAAGAATGTACAAAACATTTAAAATTTGCAGGCTATGAAGGAATCAATAAGCAATAACCGCCCAATACTGCGTAAGGCGTCATCGTTAGCCGCGCCCCTATTTGTCGAAGAAATAAGATGGATGCAACTTCGACGCATTGAACTGAAGACTGCCGACGGTCTACCACCATTGCCCATGCAAATATCATGGGTTAGGGACGGTATTCTCGTCGTGGGTATGGATTCGGAGATGCATGTGTATTCTCAATGGAAGCCTGAGAATCCACAGTCGGCGTCCGGAATGATGGGTACACAGGTATGAATATGTTTTCTTTGTATATTTATTAATGTAGCTGGTTTTGTGCTATATGAATAGGTAATGTTGATGGTCATGTGATAGGATGAAAGTTAAGATAAAGTCTTCAAGACAACTTGTAGTAGTGTCTTGATAATACCACAACATACATACCTAATTGTGAAATCTGAAAACATTACATTTGGTGTTTCATAAGAAATTAGAATAGAGACATTATGGAGACGTCAATATTTTTTTTAATTGATCGAATAAATACGTAGGTAGTTTTACGACGTAAAAAATGCCCGACAAAACTATACACATAGTTTGTCTGTCGGATACTATTCAAATAGTTACTGTATATGTACACCAATAAAAATTGTATTATACCAGTGTTTGAAAATTAACCAGCAGACGATTTTGCGCTACAAGTATCGTCAGTTATTTAAACAAATAATTGCTTTTGTTTATATCAAATACCAACACCAATATATTAACTTATATTTGAATAAACTTATTGTATGTTACGAAGGAACTGGAAGAAGGCAGTGAGTCCCGCGCACTCCGTGACTCGGACTTGCGTATATCGGCGCCGCACCTTCAACGCGTGTCCTCCATCAACCTGCAACTGTTGGAGCGAGACGCTAGGAGACGTAACAAAACACAGCCGGATCAACCACAGGTAATTATTACTGTAATATAATACTATAGTTATAGTGACGTTACAACAATTACAATCTCTCAGTATGTTACGTTTAGGTTTTTTTTTTGGAAAATTACTAAAACTGTTTCCTCATTACCGAACATCTCTCAATTTAAAATAATTTTCAAATAATTGTCAAAGAGTTCATTTGAAATAGGGTTGAATATTAACACCCGGTTTCAGAAAGGCCGATCAATGTTAAAATCAATTTAATCTCTTGTCAAGTCATCTGATTGCTTGACTGAATTATCAACAGCCGAGAGATTTAACAGGAGATTAGTTAATTTAAGCGTTGACAAGCGTTTCAGAAACCGGGTGTAAGTGTAACAAAGTAAAAAACCATCTGTCGGTATGTCGAAAACTTTATTTTATATCAATAAGTTAAGCTAAAAACAACCTATTTTGACAGACCGATATCGACATTATAACAAAGTAATTTAAACCTTATAGCTATTAATTGTCATTCTAATTTCCCAGCCTTTGCTGGACTACATGCCAGACTACGGGTTGTTCGAAGCATCACAGATGGCGTGTCCAGTGCTACCTCAGTACCATCCCAAGCAACTTATGGAGCTACTAAACAGCGGCAAGATCAGATGGGTTAAAGCTATACTTGCTCATTTAGTCAGGTAATAATAATTATAGAATATCCACAAATAGCCGTAATTCGACGTATTCCCCAAAAGAACTGTAACGCACTTGTTACATTTTTTTATATTAGGGGCGTTTATGAGTGCCGCTTACAACTTACCATCAGGTTTCTCTGTTTGCTCGTTTGATGAACAAATTCATATTACACTCAATCAGAATGTTTCTGAAAGTAAGAACCAAAGTGAAAAAGGCTAAAGTAAAGATCATTTTCTAACTTTTTCAAGTCCAAATTGAAACTCAAATACAGAATGTCCAAGTACTAAGGAACAAACTGAACAGTGATGTGTAGAACAAATAAAATCCTAACTTTTCAAGTAATCCGTACTTCCAGGGACAATCTGTGTAATGATGCTCAATAAAGATTATGTTAAGATAAACACACCCTAAATGCTTACTGAATAAAGTCGATATTATTGTCAAAATTATACTATCTGTAAATAAGTAATAAATAAATTACGTTATTTTTGTCGTCAGATGTATTGGCGGGACATACACGGGACGCAGTTCACAGGGCGATGAAGACAGTTTGTCTAGACAGGTATTTTGTTTAATTATATCTACAATATTTCCATTATAACACTAGCTAATTGTTGAATGCAGCCACGTAATGATAATGATTACATAATGAATGACTAACTAGAACTAAATACATAAATGTGAATCTCTAACACAAAATAAAAGCTTTTATACATTGTACTTGCACTTGGCATATCGGAATCAAATGAACGTTAACCGATATGCGTATATACTATTATGTGCTTTATATAACCAAAGCAATAAAGTTAACATTCCAATAAACTATAATACGTTTTGAATATTGTCTGTAAATAAATGTTTAAATGTCGTATCTCTATGTTATTATGTATTGCGATGTTGTATTGAGTATTTAAAAACAGTATTTATTTAAAACGCAAGATAAAATGATGAATATATGATTTAAATAAAACGACTAACGCAAGTTTTTAATAATAAATTAATTATTAATAATAACCATAGGAAATAAAACGACTAACGTAAGTTTTTAATAATAAATTAATTATTAATAATAACCAAAGGAAATATTTTTGTAGTATTACATTTTCATTATGTATATAAATATAGTAGAATAGTTGAAAGAAGTATTTAAGTATAAAAGTATAGAAATTAGTACATGGATGAAGAAAATTTCACTTAGTATACAATTTTAATAGAGAAACACGTAGTTAAAATATAACCGATCAGAATTAGAAGCATGAATAAAATCCCACTTCAGTTCTTGATAGACATTGTCACACATTTGCGATTAATATTTCACAAGAAAATCGCTTTAGTACTTTTAAAACCCACAGGAACATTATCATTACTCAGAGGCGAAGGGCTATTCTAGAACATTTTTAAAAAGAGTAAAAGACCTCTTGTCGTCTGTTTTTTTTAATTGTTTATTTTAACTGGTAGATAACACAATATTTTTACAATTTTTTTGGATGAAGGTTACTCGCTTAATGGTATATTTCTAGGATCGGTCCTATTCACATTTTTATATGGTATAAGAAGTAAAAATGTATGCCTTTGTAAATAAAAAAGGTCGGTTTCGTCTTTTCTTTCAAATTTCGAATCGTACGCTCGCACCGTCCTAGGACCGGCCCAAGTATAATATTTATGCAATTCCAATGGATATCTGAATGTTTATTGTAAAGAAATCAGCGTCTGTACTTCAATATTGTGTCCGCTTTATATGTGTGTACAGAATATTGTTTAAATTAAAATTCGTCGTCAATGTCATAATCATGTCCAACCGCGCGCAAAGCGTGGAGATGGTCAAACCTCTCTTTAACTTAGGAGGCCTTATGGGCTGTTGATGTATGTATGTAAATGTGAACCCTTCGCCGCTGGTCATTGTGTCCACTTGCGATTAAAAGTCGCGCCGCTGTTGCATGTCGCACGTGTTGCAGCGCGGATGGTCGCGGTCGCGCACGCTGTCCGTCTCGTTCGCCGCCGGCGCCGCTTCGCCGCTAGATGGCGTTGCACAGGTAACTTCAGCTTTTATATACACGCCCGTCGCCCACTATGTATCATATTCCCTTTATTTGTTGTTATGTGTTTATTGATAAGAGTTGTTTATAAAATTGTAAGTGATTCTTTGATAAACTAAATTTCCCTTCTACGGTATAGATTTAAAATAGTTTTTTTTTATGAACCGATTTTTATTCGCTTTTATTTACTTTACTTCACTTTAACATGAATACTCTTAGAATTGATTTGAATATTATAACTACAACCTCAGCGTAATATATAGCTATTCACAATCTTCTACACAAGTCAACCGTTTCCAATCTATCGATTAATAGATTCTAAACTTAATCTTTTAGTAGCAAAGTCGAAAATCCATTATAGAAATCTCAAGTTAATAATCATTTGGGTAATAATACAGATCACGGAAGATGTTCAGCTAGACTACGCCGAGATTACCTCAGTACCACCGCTGCCTTTGTGGACTCTACTCGTCGCTGACAAGGAGTCTCCACACCATCCGTCCACTATACAAGAAGCTAAAGTAAGATATTACTGTATAATTATATTAAGATACTTTTTAATATGGGAATTTATGAAATTAATAAAGTGTAGCGTATGTTTTTTTAACTTAAATCGCATACTTTTTTTATCAATTTTTCAAAAAAATGGGAGTAAAAATAGCGTTCGCGATTTTACGGTAGTAAATTAATAAATAAAATTGTGATTATTTTTTTTATTTTTTATTGTTTTATAATTTCTAATAATTTATTTTTTATCGACTAAACTACTTAATTACAGCAGTTAAATAAGTTCATAGCTGCCAGTTGTGTACTTATTGCAATCTTGGATTAAAAAATAATTAAAAAAACCCAGTCAAGCAGATACTCTTGTTTATTCTGCTTTAAACGAATTACAGTAGCTAAACTATATAACCTTCATGATTACTCAGTTCCCGATTTAAAATACTCCAATTAAGTCTTGTTTAACTTGTTCGCAGGACTATAACGAATTATTCGAAGGTACAATACAGGATACAGATGAAGACCTCGATGCTCTGTTGTTAGGTGATGACGAGGGTGTCGACAGACGACCCTCCATGCCTGAACGTCAGCCTCTGTCACACTTTGGACCTAGACAAGGTAAGATTAAGGATAAAAATACAAAGTATTTTAGCTGTTCATCAACAAGACGAAATTATATCTTTATTCTGAAGTAAAAATCTTATCATTAGGGCTATCTCATCGAAGAAAATAATAACTATATGTTATGGTAAAATATATAGAGTTTCATAAATATAAGGTAGTATTTTAAAATTACTTTTCAGTTCGCCAATTCCAGATAAAATGTTACTAAATTGTCGCTCCTGTTTAAAACGATTAACGGTTCCAATAGCCACGGTAAAACAAGTAGACAAACACTAAATTCGTCCTTATATTCAGTACTATGCATATCTTTTTTTGTGAGGGGCAAATCATCAAATGACTTCTCCCGTCCGGGATGAGGCTGACATTACCTATCGGTAGTGTCTTACTGAATTATACCCCCTGTTCCTTTTCTTGCTCTAGGCCGAGGTAGCATTGCTTTGTTGCGCTAGCCCCGCAAATTCCGGCTGAACATAAGCCCTATAAAGCCCCATCTGTGGTGGTCTATTGGCTTTTTACAAGCGCGCGCGTAATATGCATATTCGGGTTTATATTTAATCATATTTTTTTCCCAGGTCGCATCCTCTCCCGCCTACTCACACACACGCACTTGCCTGGTCTCAGTTCGTTGGACCAAATGCATCTGTTAGCGTTAGCCGACACCGTGTCTACTTGTGACGCGGACTTCGCAGAGCGACTGGCCACTAGTGCACGCGTCGACGTTGCGCAAGCGACTGGACAGGAAATATTGCCAGGTAAATAATAATAGGTACTTGTATCATGAAAGCTACTTTTAAAAGAAGTACAAGTTAATCAAACAGAAGATATAAGTGCGATCATTAGTTTTTTGATCGAGATTTGATAAATTCAACCGTCGCATCGTCAATCGATCGAATGATTTACGTTAATTTTTTTTAGTATAGTAACTGTTTCTTATTGGACGCTGTACCTACTTTCGAATCGGTTTAAGCCCCGACTAGAAACTGATGTAACCTTGATTATTTTTCCTTCAACATAATACCAGAATATTACTTAATTGAATTGAAATGTTCGACTAGACTCCCTCGATGATTGCGGTCTCCGTTTCCTCCTGGCTATGAAGCACTACGGCTACCTTCTGCGGTGCTTGCCCCTTGCCCAGCGTGCCAACCTCCAGCGCAATGGCGTTGGCACCTGCAACCTGGTTTGGGCCTTCCACTCGGAGACACACGAACAACTCCTGGCATTAATACCTGGGTACACCAAGGGACAGCCTAAATGGTCTACAATGAGGGAACTTGGTAAGTCATTTAATATTGTAAATAAAAAAAGGTAAGCTCTAACGTATTTGAGAGTATGCGTGACCTAGGTCGCAACACACTCTAGTTATAATTATGAACCCCATTCGTCGCTTGAAACTAGTTGAGCTTCTGGATTAATTTTACATTTTTACAAGATTATGACTATAGCTGTTGTAATACGGTACGTTCCAACAAGTCAAATTCCTTATCCAAATGTCGAAAACAATAATTTTGTATGAAACTCCAAATTATAACGTCGTAGTATTTTTGCATCAAATAGTTATTTTACAATATTTTACTGTATTGAAACATCGAATAAATTTATATTTGATCTTGGGAACTACCCAATTATGTACATTTTCACTTTAAAACTTTTCTTTACAGGTGTGGGTTGGTGGGTCCGAGGCGAGCTCCTCCGCACTTGCATGGAGAAGCTAGCTCGAGCCGCGTACATGCAGAAACAGGATCCGATGGACGCTGCCCTCTACTACCTCGCTATGAAGAAACGGATGTTACTATGGGGACTGTTCCGTTCCAGTCGCGATGAAAAGATGACCAATGTGAGTTGCTAGCTAGTTTGAATGAAGATTTGTTTTAAATAATATGGGAGAAATAAATAGCAAAAATACGATAGTTACTGACTAAAATACTTATTAAAAGTTGCAGAAAGTGTCCAAAGTTAAGATGAGTGGCTTCAGCCTTTCCTTACTTCAAATGTGCGGGGTAAAGAAAAATAATGAAAAAAAAAAGTATTTCTTGAAGCATATGCCACGTCACTTTTCATTAGAGCGAAAGGTTAGGAGCGGGGGTTTTAAACCTCATTGGAGATGATAACTCTGTTATTTTATCTTCGTAGTTCTTCTCAAACGACTTCACTGAAGACCGTTGGCGTAAGGCAGCATTGAAGAACGCCTTCGTTCTTCTAGGTAGACAACGATTTGAACACGCAGCCGCTTTCTTCTTACTTGGTGGAGCTCTGAAGGATGCTTTGGAGGTAAGCTTATAACTCCTATGGTTATTGAAATAAGGTTTTTAATAGAAAAGTATCAAAATAAGCATAGTTCATATTATGAAGCTAACAAATTTTTCTTCTAGGTACTAATCACACGCCTCGGAGATCTACAACTGGCGATGGTAGTAGCGCGTTTGTACGAAGCAGACAGTCCATTACCGACTAGCTTGAGAAAATTGTTGATGGATGAAATTTTAGGGTAAGCAACAATATCCACTACATAGTAAAAAACAAAGTCGCTTTTTCCGCCCCTGTTTCTCTATGTATGCTTAAATCTTTAAAACTACGCCACGGATCTTGACGCGGTTTTTTAATAGATAGAGTTATTGAAGAGGAAAGTTTATATGTATAATTGAATAGTGGAGAAATTAAGTTTCAGCCTTGTATAGTACGGTCGTCGTATCTTGGTGAGTCTGAAGTTAGCCGATTAGCTGCGCAGTACACAACTTTGTTCCATTGCGCAGACAAACGGCTAACTTCAGACTCGCCAAGATACGTCGGCCGTATACTCAATACTTTTATTGCTTTCCACATGTATTCTTAGGTGGTACTACTTATAAATAGTTCTCATGGACTCTGTCGGGCACAGCAAAATAAGTGGGATAGGAGAGAGGAATATTGTATAGGGGATATAGTACCCGTGCAAAGCCGGGGCGGAAAGCTAGTATTTTTAAAACAGTTAATCAAACTAGAGGTGATAATCATTTTTTTCCTTATACTTATAGTCTTTATTTTGATGAAGTTGATAACATAATTTTTGTATTTATCACACAAATAACATTTCTTCACAGTGGTGAAACAGAAGACGGTGAATTGGACTTGGAACGCGCCCATCCCGATCCATTCGTCCGTTCCATGGCTCTATGGGAACTCAAACGTTACGGCGACGCCCTCGACACGTTGCTAAGTAACGCCGGTCGTTTACATGCAGCTAGAGACAACGAACCAATGCCTAGCGTGTTCAACTTCTACGTATATTTACGAACGCATCCTAGGTTGAAGAGGCATAATCTACCCAGTCAGGTTTGTGAATTTTAATTTTATAAAAGTAGTAAATTGTTTTATTCTTAATATAAAAATTCTCCTACCCACTTGATAACAAAAGAAGAATATATCTAATTACTAGGCATTTTTTGAGTATAACAATGACACAAATGTGCCTTTTGCTCAAAGCAGGGTAGCTTATCACCTATAATATTACTTTACCAACAGGGTGGAACTCTAGCTCTTCTTCAACAAGAAGCAGAAGAAGGTATCACTCGCCTGGAACGTCGTTTATACTTCCAAACTGCGCACGGGCACTTCAAAGCGGGTTGTCCTGCATTAGCACTCGAGGTGTTGTCGAAGCTGCCCGCCAGAGTGCGCGACGAGCGCGCCCGCCAGCCTGCGCCCGCGCAGCGCATCGATGACGTCATACACACCGGACAGCTCGTCGACCTACCAGCTAAAAGTACGCTACCTTCAACCCTATTTGTACGTCTAATGATATATGTTTTGTGTTGTGTTGCTCTGTTTTTTTTTTAATTATATGGAAGTTTCCAACTAGCCATATTCGATTTGAAACGATACTTTTCTATGAATTTTGTATATTAAACTCCAAATTATGACGTTGTAGCATTTTTGCGTCATTACAGAATTTTCTGTTTCAGACAAATTCAGAGAAAAGTTTTATTTTAACATTTGAATAAAAGTATTGAATTTGATTAGTTGGAAACTACCGGACTGTGTACATGATTTGTGTGCTATAAAGGGGCTGTAATATTATCAGTGCAGTTGTCTCGTCTAGATTGCAACTAATCAAAATCCATTAGAAATAAGACTCTAGTTATTGAATGCTCTCTATCTCTAGTCATGGGAAAGGGATCAAAGAGTGCACTTTTATTTGCGTGTAAATGACATGTTTTGCGTATACGGCTTATATAGTTTTAAGACTTATATCTGTAATAAAAATTAGTCAATAACGATAAAGAACATTCCTACAATTTTTTGGACACTGGATTAAAAAAAAACACAAGATTTGCTCCTGTGTCTTGGTGCACACAAACATACAATTTCACATACACACTACAGGAACAACAATTTGTCGAATTGAACCAGCGCCACATTGCGCAGCAGCCAGTTGCCAAGCCACCTTGCCAACCGTGCAGTCAAACCTAACCTAAATTAATTCTAACATAAAAATATTAATCGTATTCTTAATGATTTCAATTCAAATATTACATTTAGTTAAAAGTAGGATATTTACTCTCTTATCTAAATAAGAGATCTTATGAATATTCTTCCCTGAACAGAAGAGGAGCCGGCTAACGTGGACTGGGGCGCGCCAGCTGTAGAGGTAGACTGGGGGGCTCCGGTCACTACGAACAAACCTGATGAACTCGTACTGAGCTGGGATGACGATGATGATAAGGGGTGAGTTTCTTTTATTAACTCTGGTTTGATTTGCATAAAAGTATGACTTTTATTATATATAAGATAAATTCATGTTTCACAATGCTAGTTAACCTGACTTCACAAAAACGGCTTCACTGATTTTACCCCTTTACTTGCAACTTCAGTAGGTAGTAGTGATAAGGTTTCACATTTCACATATTTATATGGCAAAAAAAATGTTTGCGGGGTTAGCTTGTATTTATAAATGCCTTTAAATGCAGAGAGCTGAATACGTCCGTCCCACTTTTGTAACGTTTTATGATGAAATTTTGCTTAGAATTCATGCTTTTTCAAGCACTCTGTATACAGTTTTTTTGAAGATGCTTAAATATCTTATTGAATTAATCTCATAAAATATATCTTCTTGTCTGATACAGTTCGGAAGGTTCAGGAGCTTCCACTCCACCGTTGGAGATGAAGATGGACAAGCAAGAAGATAAAGAAGAGCCTACAGTCAACGGAACTTCTGAGAAAGAGAAGGGGGCGGATGAGGCGCCGTCTGTCGATATTATGGCTCAGCAGTTGAAGTTTGTTGCTTGTTTGAAGATATTGATGGAAGAACTTAGTACTTTGGCTACTGGGTTCGAAGTTGATGGTATGTCAAAGGGTCATTTAAGATGATTTTTGATTGAATTACTTACCACAATTTTTGTAAACACTACTCCTTAAGAAAGCCATAAACTCCACTGCAAACTATTACAAGTGTTTGTTCCTAGGTCTCTGTTTTAAAGACTTATGCCCAGTTTCCGAAAGCCCGATCAATGTTAAAATCAACTAACTAGGTGTCAAATCTCTTGTCAAGTCATCTGATTGGTTGTTGATAATTCAGTCAACCAATCAGATGAGTTGACAAGAGATAAAATTGATTTTAACATTGATCGGCCTTTCGGAAACCGGGTGTGAGATTTATAACATTGGTTACAAAATAATGAACTTTTAATATTTAATTAGAACCTGTTCAAATGTTTATTTAATAATGTTTTATGAGCAAAAAATATTGTTTTAATAAATGTTTCTACGCATTAGGTGGACACCTCCGCTACCAGTTGTACATATGGCTGGAACGTGAAGTGGAGGCGCTCCGCCGTCTGTGTGGGTACTTAGCGGCGGGCTCCAGTGGCGGGGGCGGAGCGCTATTGTGCGCTGAGCCTGACCTTGCCCCGCTACCAGAACGCCCCACTTTACATCAGCTTCTGGTGCGAGAGAAGGCAGATTTCGAGGCTAAAGTACAACGCGCCCTGAATAGGAAGCGGTGGCTTAAAGGTAAGTTTTTTTGTAAGTTATTTTTATTTTTTTTACTTTGTACAAAAGTTTCTGGGCATTTACATGATACACATCTTTATTTTTCGTTATTAAAGAGGTGGATATCGCAAAACAAATCGAATTGAATAATTTGAGTATTGTGCTGTATCAAATTGTTGATAAAAGAAGAGAAATATAAATACGTTTAGATGCTGTACTTGCATGGGCATTATTCTTCGTACTTAATAGATAAAAAGTGGGCTCGCTTAGGTTTTTTTTTTTAGAAATGAATAAAAAAAATTAGTTTAGTAGTCTGTAGTCAGTATCACTAAAATGTTATAAATGGTTTTCTAGTAATTTTAAGAGTAATTTGCTGGTTTTTTATGTATACGTATAATACGTAAGGAGGTTTATTTGTTGGATAGTACCTAATATAGATGATATCATTGTATTGGCATAAATTGACTAGACTAAATGCCTCATAAAATGAGATGGTTTTTGTAGTTAAGGATAGTGTGTTGTCAAATGTATAAATTGGTCTATCTATACTAATATTATAAAGAGATAAAATTTGTAAGCTTGTATTTAGGGGGTAATCTTTAGAACCGCTGCTCGGATTGCCAAAATTCTTTCACCGATAAAATGGAGCCGAGCAGTTGGTGAAACAGCACGAAAGTTGCTAGTTGTTAAATGAACCCCCCCCCCCCCCTCCCCCCCCTAGCGAACGAGACGTTGCTGCGCACGCTGCTGTCGTACTGCTCGCTGCACGGGGCGGGCGGCGGCGGGCTGGCGTCGGTGCGCATGGAGCTGGTGCTGCTGCTGCAGGAGCTGGGCCAGGACAAGCAGCACCAGCAGCTGCTGTCGCCGCTGCCCTTCCCCACCACGCTGCCGCTGCTCGCCGCCGCCGTCGCCACCAACAACACCGTCGTCGCAGACCCCGTGCGCCATCTGCAGGTACAGCTCTGCTACATTATATGTCATACTCTTCATAGTTAAACTTCGAGATTGTTCTTTTTCAATCCTAGATATTACTTTTTCTCTTAACTAGAACATCTTTAACAAATTTCTACTCGCAGCGAATGCGTTGTTATGACAGTAATCAATTAGCGTATTCATACGTCATCATATTTCACGATGCTGGAAAAGCAAAGATGTCTTTATAAAAAAAAAAACAAATTAACTCACCGCGTAAACATAATACTTGGTTATACTCTTTTTCTTATGTGGAAAATATTCTCAAAGTAATTCTCCCGCCTTAGGTAGAGCGAGATAAATTGTTAAACTCTTACCAAACCATAAAAAACAATAATATCCTCAATATTGTATCACCCAATCATGAAGTTCAAACATGAAGTTAAAATATCTTTATAAAAGGAAAATTATTATACAGCAATCGAAAATTTGTATCGTCATGGTGGCCTAGAACCACTCTTGGGCAAGTGTGATTATTATTGCTCAATTCTTCTCCGTGTGAGAAGAGGCCTTTCCTCAGCAGTGATGATGTAAGATATGTTATTCTATCCTAACTCCTATTTATTTCTCCCAGTCGGTAGCCCACGACATGCTGGGAACGATTGGTGAGCTGGGCATTCCTGGTGGATCGGCGACGAGAATTCTTCACACACTGCGGGAGCTGGCAGTCGCGCTGTCCGCCTGCATATACCAGAGTCTGTGCGATTCTGATACCTTCAGCTTGAAACACGCACATCACCATGATGGGTGAGTTGTCATTTTATTTACAGTGTATATAAATGAATCGCAAAATGTGTTTGTGTGTGAGCAACGCATTGCACGCCTGGACCTATTTTCCTATTTTACCAATTTTTTATAATGTTTCAGTCAGAATTTTTTTTTCCTATGAATGTCAATTTAAAAAAATGTGCGGCGTGGCTGTGCGAAATAGGAGTTCATAATAAAAAATATTTTCTCATGATATAGCTATTTTAGACATTGGTACTTTAAAATATTATTTTAGCACAACTATCCATAAACTTGAAATGTTAATCAAAATCACCACTAAATAACATCCCACCCACATTAAAGCTGATTTGTCTATGCAAAGAATGCTTATTATTCCGTGAGTAAAATATATTTTCGCTATTTGACAGTATCATAGCTGAAACTCCGGGTACTAGTCAAATCCTCTTGCGGCAGAGGCGTCATTCCACGGACGAGCTTACAGTTACTACTCCACCGAACAAATGGCCAGGTATGAACATTAATTAACTTGTGAATTGTATTGGCTGTAACTACACACTACACACAACATACGCTTCCATTTCCTGTATCTAGTTGTTTTCCCTTGGTTTTTAGGGTCGGAATATAATTTTGTTTATAATTTAAAAGCAAATTTATCTACTTACACTTCAAAAACATAGTTTCGACAAAATGTTTAAGATGATGTACTTAACAGATTTATTTAGCTTTTGATGGTTAAGAGACAAGCTCATATACATATTACATACTTTCTGGTCACTTATTAATGAAACGTCATATTTAGTCGTATGTTTTGGATGGGTTTTATCAACTACATCATTTTACACGGGAACCTGAAGCCTCAATTTTTACATAAGCCACTTGTAACTGCGTGTAGGAGTATCAGCGCTCCGCGGGCTGGCCCTCCGCGCGGCGGAGGAGGAGGACGCGCCTCGTCTGGCGGTGCTGCTGGCGGAGGCGTTCTGCGCGGTGTACCTGGCGCTGCTGGGCTGGGCCGCCGCCGCGCGCGACGCGCACCTGCTGTACCGCCTCACGGCGCACGCGCCCCTCGCGCACGACCACGCACGGCTCTTCGGCGGCGGCGTACGGAGGCTACTCACCACCGCGCCTGCGCCCTCCATGCAGGTACGCTGCCTCTATATTGTACTAGCTTGTTGATCAAAAGCCTATTTGGTAATTTAGATTATCACCTATATTCAACCAAATTGGTCCAGTCGTTTTCGCATGAAATAATAATAATTATACATCCATAAATTCTCACAAAAGTTTACATCTATAAAATTAATAGGAAATATTCCAAAAAGAAAAGTAAACAAATAATAGTGTCAAACGGGTGTATAACACAAAACACCCACTTTTAGTCATTTATGTGGTGAAGCTCACTGTAAAACAAGCCTCAAGCTTCAATTTATGGGCAACATGATAAACAAACACACTTATCGTTTAAACTATAGAGACCATCTCATTGAATTGACATTTCAACAAACCATATGACGGTGTTTATTTCTCTACATTTACTCAGTAACGTTAATTTTCCTTACAGCCGAAATTAGTGGAACGTCCAGAAGGAACATCAGTATGGTCCTCACTACGAGAGAAACGTGCCCTACTCAACATGAGACTACTGGGTCTCGGACCTACCGCCCCCCACAAAAACATACAAGAGGGTCGACCTACATACAGAGAGCAGTTTGTTCCGCCACACTGTAGCATTCTCACTTATCTACTTACTAAGGTAAATTTATTTTTTGGTACAAAGTGATAACAAAATTATTAATAAAGATCTATAGACATATGAGTATTAAGTCCAAAAATATTTACATAATCTACATTACACGCATCCGTAGAATAATTACGTTTATTAGAACTTGTGAAGCATTAGGTACTATGCATTTTCAACCTTATGTTATCGCAATAAGTTATATTATTAATTGTAGCCCACCGCGGAACAAGACCCCGAGAACTACGATTATGATTCGGCAGAATCCGGAGGTGAAGATGTCGATGATAGTGGCAGCGAAGCTGACGACGATGATATATTCGACACCAGCAATACCAAGTAAGTTTCAACTCAAAACTATAGAAATTACGGTCTATATATCAATGACAGAGTTGTAAAAGTAGCGCTACAGTTCATGTCTTAGGAAAGTGGTCAAGTAAAAGGTATCTTGCTATGTATATGAAGAATAGCTTGCTCTTGACAAATTATATTTATTAAAATAAAGACTTAATCACTAGCTTTACTAGTTTCTTAAATTCTCAACATCTCTTTCACTCTTTTATGATTTTTGGGGAATCATAAATTATAATGGTGATAGTTTTCACCAATACTTTTACATCAATAAATTATCCAATATGTCTATATTTAAATAACATTATCTAATAAAACATGTTATTTTAACACAGAAACGAGAAGCGTCGTAAACAAGCGAATACGGAACATTCAGATCCCGATTCTTACTCGTGGTTGGTGATGCGTATCGCGGTACTACGACTCGCGCAGCAGAAGTTGCAGAACTTCTTGCAGCTATGCGGGATTGAGATGTCAGGTAAGTTTTTTAATGGCGAAAAAATATTCCTAACAATCATCTTCTCTACCTTGTTGGGGCGAGAGGGAGTGTCAGTGCTCGGCTCAGCGGCAGACGGAGATTATGTTGTGTTGTTTTTCTAGTGAGATTAATTTTTCCATCACGCTACTATATACATGGTTGCTGTTCTTCCATCTTATGCTGCCGGGCCGCTGTGTCATCTCGCATGAACTCTAACCCCAGTTGTATGTTAGTGGTAATATTTAGTCTTTGGATTCAAACTGATTTTTGACAGTATCTCTGAATTTGTATTATAATCATTTTAAGACTTATCTTCACTACAAGTTCAGTTTTAAATCGGTCGGGCACAAATTTGTGCCAGGCTGTAGATGCTAAATTCAATGCACTGGATTTTAGTTTTTAGACCGCCTATCACCCAGTAATAAAAAAGCCTAGTCGGAAATGTGTATTCTTTAAACAAACTGATAATTATCTTGTCATTACTCACTCACTTAGACCGCCTCAAACACCGTGTTTGATTCATGGATGGAATTATGAATTATTTCGGTATTAAGTTACTGTCTCTTTGCTGCACTATAACAACCTTTTTAAATGTACTAAAACTACTAAAATCAGAGCTGGCGACGACAAGCCCGATGGTGCACGGAGCCTTGCGGCGCGTGGACCAGTGGCAGCAACAGTTAACAGAGACGCTGGAGTCTCGGGCGCCGCCCCCCGACTACATCCCTGGCTGCTTTCCTGAACAACTGCCTTCTGGACCACCTATCAATAAATACAGGCAAGTGCCACCAGCATTTTAATTTTTTTTAACATTCTCTAGTTCTAAACAAAATTTGATAGTCGCGTTCTTTGATTTTTTATAATAATGGGTATTGTGAGATGTTCTGAAAATAATTGAGATAATACCTAATTAAACCCTTAAAAATTTTTTACTCTTTGTCTTCGTCATTATTGAGAGTCCTCGTCGAGCTCGAAACTGGTCGTGCATTATAGGTGTAGTAACAGAAAAGTGGACTGAGAGAAAGTGTTGAAAGTTAAAAAACGTTTTTTAGGTTACACCAAATCTGATTTAATGTCTGTTTGTTTCACCGATTTTTTTCGAAACATTTTCCTATTCATTAACATTTTTTCATAGTAACTACCGTGATATACACAAAATTATTGAAAAGAGTACTTCTGGCTAGTTGCAAGTCTCGACTGGGCTCTTATTCTTAAGTAAGACTTCAAAATTGAGACTTATTACGTTATTTTCATATACTATTTAGGTTATACAACTTTTGGTCATCATATTTCTTTTTTCAGGTGTTTGTTAGAGAAGCATAATACTCCATTCAGTTCGGTGCTGTTCAGTGCAGCGCCAGCGAGGAGATTATGGAGCTTCCTTGTGCGACAGGAACCGGTTCAGGTAAGAAGAACATGCACTACACGATATGTGCCTAATAGTATTTTTTTTTAAATTGGTAAACATTCAACTTACAGCCTTAGTTGAATTCTTTTTTATATAAACATTAATTACTCCAAACGTTTCATCATACAGTTTTGTACTAGTTTTGTGCTGTGTGCCATGTGCAAATGCTCAAACTCTATCTATCTACTTCTTTTTTTTTTAAGAAATGAATTAATACTTTTGTAATTATTTAATTTATTAAACTGTAAAATACAAACAACACTGTGTCCAAAAGTCGGCCAGAATCTTACACGTGAAATACATTGATTTTAATTAAATAATGTGCCAGGACCTCTTCATCCGCGCGGTATTCTCTCGTCGTCGCGCGGGCTCCCAGTCCGAGGCGGAATCCCGCGCGGGCGGACAGCAACAGCGGGACCGCGACCTCGACCTGCACAACCCCGTGCGCATCATACACAAGGAGCAGGACTCCATTGCTGCATTCTGTCTCAACAAGGTAACTTTTTTTTTAGTGGTAATAATCATCGAATTTCTTCTCCCGCCGTGAGTGAATAGGGAATGTTAGATTTTTATTGACATTAAACCACTCAGTATCTTCTCTTATTCCGAGCAGGGGCGCCAGCCGCCAAACATTCACCCAGATGTACTTACAAGGTTTCGCGTTTATAATATTTGTCGGATTATTCTGATTTTATGATATTTTCATCAGTACATACAACGAAATATGTAACAAAATTCATTTGTATAACTTTTTAAAATATCTTAACGTTTATTTATTTGGGAAAATGATTACGATTCCCTTATGGCCTTAAGGGGTATATATTTTTTTTATATTATTCCTAGTTTGATATTAATGCCTAGGAGCTCAACTTAACAATTCATCTTGATGTCAGGTGGGAGGCTACCTGCTAGCAGTAGCGACGGCCCGCGAAGTGCAGGAGATGGACGTCTCCTTACTGCTCCGGGCGGGCGCCTGGTGGGCCGAGGACGAGTGCGAGCTGGACCTGCTGGCGCTGGCCGCAGACCCCGCCGCGCTCCCTGACACCGGGTTCCTGCTTATACAGCATCATGATAAGTATGTATACCCAATTTCATTCATGTCAGCCACTGTTAAACATGGGCCTTTCATATAATGTCAATTTAAACTCTCCACGGACTTGCGGTTCTTGCTCTTGTCACATAATTTTAATTTATTAGTAAATGTTTATAAAATACCAATTTTTGAAGTGTTCATCAAAACATTGGTCTTGTGACTGTCATCTTACTTATTTCGTAAATATATAAATGTTTACAGAGTCTTCTTTATAAACTAGACTAGATAAACCTTTTTGCCAATTATAAATCTGTAAGAGTAATTGTTTTTTGGCAATTTAACTAAAACAATTCACAAAGAACAGGCAATGTTGAGATATGTTCCACAAAATGTGTCAAAGTGCAATATTATACAATATTCATAGAAAGTCTACATTTTAACTATGATACATTTTTGACACAGGCCCAATAGCGGATCAGTACCAGGAACTGGCAACAGTTCGCCGTTGAATCCCAACGCGCCGCAAGTGCCCGTCGGTATGGCCAGCCAAACGGGCCGGGGAGCCAGCGTTGTAAGTATTTCTCCATTATTTTACAATATACACGAATATAATGGCCTGGAGATGCAGTGAACATGAAAGCACTTTGTCCTGTGGCAACTATTAATGTATATCATGATATTTATATATCATACGTACTTATACGGTAAAGGAATTCATTGTAACGAAATAATTCCAAGCTACAAGTATGAAATTGCCATTCCATGCCTTCTCTAGAACAGAAGTATAATACATGATATGGTTATATTAAAAATTGATAAATCAAAGGTACGTGGAGTTTCGAACTTCAATAAATATAGACCTAAAGATCAAGTTGAAATATGTATAAAAGAAATGTAACAATCAAAGGTACATTAAACCGCTTTGTACATTATATAAGGATTCGTCAAAAAGTTTTTATTAAAATAAATACACATTCAGGATTATAAATCTTTTTAATCTGTCAACAGATAAAACACAATTGTTAATGGAGACTGTGATAATGTCGATAGTATTGTATTACATTTACAACTGTTAATACGTCCATTATCGTTTGATAACGGGCATAATGGACAAACGTGAATGTTTATTATCCACACTCAATGCACGTAGAAAAAAAACCGATAAGATTGTGACAAAAAAAATTACTATAATACCAACTGCTTTTGTCTCTAAATTCAAACTTTAGCTTATAAGAATAACAGCCAATATTAACACGTTGAAAAGCTTTATAACATAAGTATACTATTAATACATAACTATATTGTAGTTCTTCTACTAACTGCTGAGTAGTGGGGCTAGATATTTGCAGGCTGGACTAACAATACGAGTAACAAATAACTAAATAAACTGTAACAGGAGCGGCGGTCAAGCAGCGTGCCGACCGGCCTAGAAGCGTATATAGTTACAGTACGTTCACGTAATAACTAATGCACTATAATAATATATAATCACTGGGTGAATCAATGTTCCTTATATAACCTTACAATCTTGCCAATTATCTCTATTAAGACACAATAGAAGATAGGTGCGCAAACGTTTCTTTCGCTTTTAGTTTGATGAATTCAATAATGGTCACTTTGTATAAGAATTGTCGTGAAATATACGACTCGAACATTAATATGAGTTCCAGTGTGCCTTGAAACTAGTAGAGCTTTTCTCGATTAGTTAGTTTTGAAGGTAGAAATTGAGTATTTTTAGTTTTTGTTTGTTTTTAGTTTCTACATTCTAAAGTACTTTTATATGTAAATGGAGTAGTCTGGAAGCTTTTTCTATATGGTAAATAATCGATAATGATTGAAATCGCTTCTGATGCGACGATGTTCTATTTTATAGGTAAACGTTTAGCATTAAAATATTCCTTAAACTTTGTTAAATTCTTAACATTTATTCACCCAGTAAGTATAAAACAAATGCTGGGTCCTATATAAGGGTGTGGTTATTGTGTGCGTGTCTGTACGTGTATATTGTATCGTGTCGCCTCGCGCTTAGCCCTCGCTTACTTTTCTAATCTCTCTATAACTATACTGACGGGAGATCTAGAGATTATTTTGACTGTTTAAACCAATCGATACATTTTAAATAGGAATTTATTATAAGTTTATTTATAGATGAATAGGTAGGTAACACAACCAAAGGCTATTTTTTTATAATAATTAATGAATGTGGTTTTTAGGAAGTGGTCACTTTGTGTCTCGGCGTATGAATGATTGTATGTTCGGTATAACAGAGTGTTGATCACAGGTGAAGGGCCTACAGTTCCCGGGTTGCCACGACCCGAAATACTGTCGGCTGGTGCTGCATCGATCCAAGCTTCTCATGAAACCGGTCAGTGACAACCCTAGCCAATCCTCTGCAACTTTCGTTTACGTCACAACCCTAGCCAGCGGTCGCACTCCCCAAGATTTATTTCTAGCTCGATGTTCATTTATTTTTTGGTGTTTTATGATTTTCTTCTCCAATGATGATTTCTTTTTTTGGTTTTCCATTTCACTAGACTAGGACACTTTGTTTTCCCCCATTCGTTCTCATTTTTCAGCCGTTCTCAACATGGAGGTTTTATTTACGTTCTGGCCACTTTTTATTTTTTGTTGTAGAGGTTCGTTTAATAGATGTGTTGATGTCGATGTTTCCGAATTATTTTTGTTAAATTCCAACTGTCTATTGCTAATGTATGTTGCGTTGTCTATTGCACATTTGTTTTTATTAATTAAGCGAAGCATGATCTGTCTATGTTACTAACCAATTAATATGTTTAACTTACTGCCTGTATTTTAGTACATTTATTATTTTTATTAAATGATAATGTTGTATAGGTGCTGAAACACAAAATCGACAACATCAAAAGAATGGCAGCGCATCCTTCTCAACCGTTGTGTAAGTAGTTTAGTATTAAAACATTTTAAGTTTCAGTAGTAATTGCTTAACGTAATAATACGTGCATAATAATATCATATAGTCGAATGGATAATTTTTGTGTTTATGTCGCAGCCAAAATAGTGACTGATGACTATTCGTTTCATTGAATGGCTAATTTCTAATTCTGTCCGTTCGTAAGTTAAAGAGATTGTCATGCAAATCGAGTTTCTACCAGAATGGTAGGTTAGGTTAAAACTATCAACTGCAGAGAAATCGAATCGCCATCGCAAATAAACCACACCTAAATTGTACTCCGATCGAAGGGCTAGTTGATAGGTTGAACGACTTTTGTAACCAGTTGGCTGTGATATGTGATGTGTGTGCATTAGATAATAACACAAATATTTAATCTACTTTAGATCTAACGGGTGGGGCGGACGGTTCCGTTCAACTATGGGAGTGGGGACACCCGTCCTGCGTATGGTCTCCGCGAGCTCCGGGCGCGTTCGCAAAGGTCACAAGAGTCCGGTTTTCCGACTACGGGAACAAGTTTGCAGCTTCAGACGCTGATGGAAACCTGGCTATGTGGCAACTGCATCCTGCACCGCATCAAGCGGGACAACCTCACGCCTCGCCTAGACCGTTCTTTGTAAGTTTATAATATTACTAGATGACCCGTTTTTGGCTATTAAACGACCCGTTTTTGGATCGTAGAAGGGTGAATATTGAGGATTGTATGTATTTTTGTATGTTGTATCAAAAAAATAGAAATTAAAAATGTTGTATAAAAAATTTAAAAAAGATTTTTTTGGCCGATTCTCATAGATACCGAATAAGCACAAACAATTTCATCAAAATCGGTCAAGCCGTTTCGGAGGAGTATGGCAACGAAAAATGTGACATGAGAATTTTATATATTAGATTCTGTGCTTTAGAATTGGTTGTTAAATATTTTAACTAAGTACCTATAATGTATAGGTAGACTCTTGATGATAGAAATGTTTGGTCAATTCACTGATGTAGTCTTTTTTGCTGTTTGCCTAATTAAGAGAAAGAAATAAACATAGAATGTACTGTGTTTTAAGTGGTTGTAGTTATAGCAACAGAAAATTTTCATCTCAAAAACTTTTTTCATTCCATCTTTAAGAACTTCTTTCAGTTAAATACTTTTAAAGAAAATTACGTATGATCAATCGTTTTTCTTTTACAGACCCATCAATGTCATAGCAAAGGAATTAGCGATTTCGTTTTCCTCGGTTCTTGCAGTTTAGTTGCTACAGGTATGAATTGTTATTTGACTAGAAAATATTATGATTTAATCTTATACTTACCTATTTGACGATGTATCACCTTCTGCTTTAAAATATTTCAGCTGGTCATAGCTCCGAGAGTAAAAACGTTGCTGTGTGGGACACATTGATGCCAACTAAGAAAGCTTTAGTGGTTTGTGAGTATGCAGTTTATTTATTTTCAATTATATTTTTCGTATACTCTGGTTTGCTTGTGAAAAGAGAAATGTTAGGTACTGCTTGAAGTAAAAATATAATTGTTACCAATGTACCTACCCGGTTTCTTAGTGTGTATTATTATAATTTACTATAGTCAGAATTTTAATTAGTTTCCTGATTTGACATGACCTACTGTCATTTTGTGAAATAATGATACCACATATAACAGTGTAGTGATGAACACAAAAATCGATAAACAATCATTGAATCAGTTTCAGGAAGGCATTCAAAAAATTACGGCTACCGAACGGTCTAAATGCGTATCCTATGTTGTCAAAAAAGAGGAAAAAATGAGTAAGCTAGATATGTTTTTTTTTTTGTGAGGGGAAAATCATCAAATGGCTTCTCCCGCCCAGGGCCGGGCAGGAGGGAGTGTCAGACTCTTACTGACTAAAAACCCCCCCCGTTCCTTCTCCTGCTCTGTGCCGAGGTCGCGGTACCTCATTGCGCTTACCCCGCAACCCCGGCTGAACATCAGCCCTTTAGCCATTCGACCACCACAGACGGGGCGCCCGTCTGTGGTGGTCTATTGGCTCTTTGAGGCGCGCGCGGAACGCTACGCGCCGTACGCTCGGGCCTGGTTCTGGTCGGGTGGCGAGCTGCCCTTACTCGCCGACCGCAGGCCCGTGCTTACGGTGGCCGGAGATCGTCCCTCGATCCCGACGCCCGTAGTGTCGCCAGCACGTCGATTCTATAAAATTTGTTTGATTTTGAATCTTGTTCGAGTGCGAAGTGAGCGTCAAAGTGACGGGGAAATAAAATTTTAGAATGCCACTTTTTACGTCATCTCATACTTTATCTATCAATATGTTGCTTTCAACTTAGTTCAACTCGCAAGTGTAGCGCTAGTGTACTACTACTCACAGCGGATTCAGATTCGAAGTTTAGAATGAAGCCTTACAGAATCACACCCCAGTTGCGGCTGCTGGGGCGTGAGGAGGAGGATTGCTCCCTCACGCGGGCCGCCTCTCTCTTTGCGAGCATGACTGCTTCACAAAAGGAGGAGACGGCGTCCCAGTTCCTCTCACTCCGCACCATGGCCTCGACTAAGGCCGGGCGCGAGAGGTCGCCGCCGCCGATTACTTCCCTGAGGATACGGCGGTGCTCAGCCCAGGCAGGGCATACCGCTACCGTATGCTCCACCGTATCCTCTAGGTGGTCCTCACAATGACGACACTCGGGCGTTTCCTCCCGCTGAATCCGAAACAGGAACCTACCGAAGCTGCCGTGCCCGGTAAGCACCTGCGTCAGACGGAAGGTGAGGACGCCGTGGCGTCTCTCAAGCCACTCCTCAAAGAGGGGTCTTACCGCTGCTATGGTAGCGTGCCCGGCCCTCGGTTGCGACAGTCGTTGTTTTCACTCTGCCATGAGATCTCGCCGGAGCTCATTCCGCCACGCACTAATTTGGCGCGGCAGAGGATCTTCGCCCTGGCGACGCGCGTCTGCGCGCAAACTGTAGACGCGCGCGAGCGCCTTCGCTTCTAGATCCCACGGCGGTGATCCGGCAAGGAGGTTCGCCGCCTCCCCGGAGATTGTGCGATATCCGCGTATTATTCGGATAGCCATGACCCTCTGGGACGCGACCAGCGTACGAGCCGGCCGCCGCTTCAAGGCCGGCGCCCACACAGGGGCACCGTAGAGGGCCATGGATCGCACAATCCCCATATACTACCTCCGGCAGGAGGCGTTTGGCCCCCCGAGGTTGGGAAGGAGCCGCTTGAGCGCGGCCCCAGACCGTTCCAACTTAGGGGCCAAACGACGAAAATGCTCCGTTAAGTTCCATCAGCTGTCGAGGACGAGACCCAGGTACTTCATCGCCGACAAGCTAGATATGTCAAGTGACAATAAATATCACAGACACAATTCATAACAAATGTTACAGAAAGTAACAGCGATAGCGATAGCGATGACGGCGACAATCTATAAAATGTCTGTATTATTTGTCATGTTCCTTCATGATCACATTTTTTATTAATTTCACACACAATTACAAAAAAAAGTCTCAGATCGTTAATTAACTGTCAAAACTGAATTATCAGTTCAGAAATATTTTATTTCCTGATAAATATAGTTTACGAGAGGAATCGATTCAGAAATCGATTTCCATATCGAATAGTTTCGCAACGTCATTATTTGGTGCGTGTCATAACGTTGCAACACTGAAATTGTCAAATCTGGAATGGAATTAAAATTCCGAGTATAGTTTTGCGTGAACCCGTAATTAATATGTTTAAAGACTGAATCTGTGATTAGTATCTAAAGAAGGCAGTGGCAGACTGTAAGTGTTGAGTAGAGTGTAGTACGAGTACCCCGGTGGTTGTGCAGCATGGACGTGTCACGAGGGGGGCGCGGCGTGCGTGGCGTGGGCGGGGTCGCTGGGCGCGCTGGTGTCGTGCGGGCGGCGCGGGGACGTGCTGGTGTGGGACCTGCGCGCGCGCGCCGTGCGCCAGCGTCTGCACGCGCACCACGCGCCCATCAAGTGCGTCGCGCTCTCGCCCAGGGAGGACTACTACGCCATCGGGGCCGCCGACGGTGATATCAAAGTAAGACGTTAAACTATTTTTCTTATTAGCGATTGAAAACTGATCAAAATGCCAATCTTTACTAATATTAAAAAGATGTAAAATTTGTAAGTTTGTATGTAGGCGTAATCTTTGGAACCGCTGGTCGGATTTCGAAAATTCTTTCACTGATATATAACTACAATGTTCCTGTTAGTGCTATAGGCTTAAACATCGCGCTACGATTAAATAGAACCGAGCAGCGGGTGAAACCGCGCGAGAGTAACTAAATAAGTAAAAGGACTAAGATTAGCTTTGACAATGGTATGGCCAGATGAGAAATTATTATAGGTACATATTATTACACACAAAAAGTCCGTAGGCAGACTTAAGCCGTTCTCTACCAGTCTATTACAAACAATAAAATACTTTATTTACTTCGAATAATATTAATAACAACTAATTTGATATTCATATGTTTTTCTTCAAATTTCAGGTGTTCTCACTGACTACTCACCAATTGTTATACACGTTTGCGGGAGAACATGCTAGGAGTTCCTTTTTCAAGCACATTGGCCAGGGTGTTACGCAAATACATATCGGTAAGATTACCTGTAACTGGGAATATTAGTTAATATGTTAATTTTAAATTTGTTTTTAATACGTTTTTGTAATATAGATAACGCCGGCCGTCTATTCTCGTGCGGCGCGGACGGCACCATGAAAGTTCGGAAGCTACCCGAGCGAGACTCGCAGCTGCCTCATCAACCGCAGTATTAAGTCACGCTGTGACCTACATACACGGTCAGTACAATTAGTATAGTAATAGTACAAAGTAGTAGTATTAATACGCCTGTACCAACTAACCCACGTCTTGTTTTAGGATGGCGAGACGCAGTTGAGAGCATAATGTGGTCCGGCGCGCCGCGTCTAGCCTTACAGCCCTTGTGATGTACCTATTTATCGTTGTTGCTATTCAAATGTTACGAGTATGATGATCATTGTACGCCGTTAGACTAGTCACTGAGTAGGCGATGTTGTATCTTATAATGTATTTAAAATGTTAATGAATCTTTAGTTATTTCTAGTGTGAAATATTCGCTATTTTTAACTTAATAAACATGTCCTAGATAAATATATAATTTATTTATTAGCAGCAGTGGCTGGCCTAAGCCGCGCGCTATACGTGGCGTAGCGCGCGCGGCGCTGGGAGTTCGTTAGTGTGACATAATGTATGATGTGCTGTATTTTAGTGTAAAGTGCAATAACTAACTCGATGCTAACTTATGAATCCGACTATTGACCACGTCGAAGCCTTTACTAGATAACAGTTTAGCTCTTTTAATCAATTTAGCTTATGATACGAGTGCATATAACTTGTTGATGCATAATAACATATAATTTATTGAATAGGTATATATCAATCTATCTCGTATATAAATCGTCGTTGGCTTAATGTAACTTGTTTATTACTATTTAGTCTCGTGGCTCGTGCGACTGGCAGTCGGTCAGCATATTTCATGTAATAACATTATTATACTTAATCCCCTTATATGGCACCTCATGTTCTAGTAGTAAGTATTATATTGTTATATCTATGTATTCTATGTGATGTATTCGAGATTATATAATATGTTCATGTTATTTTTAAAGCAATATTTTGTTCCATGAAAGCATTTCTAAACGAAGCAATAAAATTATAAATATCAAATATATTTTGTGTACTTTTCTGTGCTTTATTTTAACAGTATTATTGTACGTTTGTAGTGAGGGAAATAACAAAATTATCTTAGACTCTGTATAGCCTGCAATGTGTTCTATAACTAAACTGCGCTTGTGATACATTCAGTGATATACTTACTAAACAAATTATAGCAATTTTCCAATATACTAACAGATGCTATTGTAATCTTAAATATGATTTTATTTTATGTATATTTTCAAATTATTTAAAGTTTAATTAGTGAAATCTAGTAACATTACACGGTCCCATGTATCGACTAACCCGTTAGTAGTAATCCTAATAGCAAATAATTCATAATATTGATGTTAGTCATATTATTAAATCCGTTGACTAAATATAACAATTTCGTTTAAATGGAACCCTTTTCTGAGTGAAATAAAAGACATTGGTTTCGTTGTTTTTCTTTGGTTAACTATTTGTAGTAATATTGTTTAGGTTAATGACTGAACACCAAAGTTATATCTATCGAACATAATTGTTTAGTGGCTACATTACATAATGATAAACATTAAATTCAGTTTAAATAAGTTACCAACTTTAGGCTTTATGGTTTAAATTCGCACAATGAAAGCGGTATGCGAGAGAAGCGTTTTACTGTGTCATGTACAAGTCAATTATTGTCGTAATTGTATCTTTATGAACATCTGTATATAATGGAAGGGTTATACATGCACAGCATGACAATATGCCTCGAGCATGGTCAGCTTGTACAATTGAATCTAAAAGCAATCTTGTGAAATTGAAATAGAACCGTTTATCGCGCAAACCAGGAATGCTTCGTATCGCTTCGCTTCTTGCATACGTACGAAATTTCCACATCTTCTACACAACCACATATTGAAATGAGTTGAATGACGCACCTGTTACAATATTATAGTCGAATGAACAATGTTCAATGCTTAGTTTGTTTTATTTATGAAGAAAACATTTAAAATAAAGTTTAACTCATAGTTATTGTTTTATTTCTGACTATTAACCCGCCCTGCTTCGCACGGATGCAGCGCTGATACTAAGTTTCTCCACTGCCAATGTTTTATGGATGTTATTATACGTATCAACCTTCTTCTTCAATCACTCTTATCTATTCAAAAAACCGCAACCGCAAACTACGCGCTAAATCAATTGCGTAGTTGTATACATACAGATATTGGGGACGGAAAGCGTTTTTGTTTTATACACTTTAAGGTATATAGTGATTCTTTTTTAGATATTTAGTTATCAAACTGCAGTATTCCGTATATCATTCAAACATTCATCGACGTTATGATAATTGAAAGAAATCCCAATTTATAGATTTGAATTGCATTAGTAGGTAGTAAATAATAAAAGATGGAATTGAGTTCAGCAATAATTTATTATTATTAAAACAAGTTTGTAACATCATAGGATAAAATGATTATGAAGATGTTAGCACAGCTAAAACTCAGAAGACTTATGCTTTGCCCTCGGGCATCGCAGTTGGGACGGTTTCAACAAACCACACAATAAATAAAAGTAAGTAAACAGTTAGTAAACTTGACTTGAAAAAAACGGACGTTAATGAATCGTGATTGCGATGCATCAGAAACCAATCTTATTTAAATGACCTACACTCTTAAAGACAATGAAGCATATAGGTATGATGTAACGTTATGCATGCACTTCAATATAAATACTCTGAATTGTTGGCATTGTCAAGATTGTCTCATTAGTGAGGTATAAGGTACAATGTACACGACGTCGGACTAAGCATACAGTCTTTTAAATAAATTATTTCAATAATTTCTTGTCAACATCACTCGTTTTAATTCCCAAATATTCCGAAACGAATTGAACTGCGTCATCCTGGTTCAGAGTAGGTTTTCCTATAGGATTTTCTAAGAACAGAGTGGCAGATTTAATTCCATTTGCAATGTTAACGAATTTGCAGAATGGACTGCTTTTAGATTCAATATCCTTAGGTTTGTTTAGAGAGGCAACTAATGTTTTAGCATTTAGATTTGTTGTGTCTTTGACCTCCACCCCATCACACCATAACGTAAACTTCAAACCGTAAATACCAAAAAGTACTTTGACCTCTTTGTAGAGGTTCTCTAAGCTTATAAACTTATTATTTTTATCCTTAAGAATAATACTAGCTTGCTTACTCGTAACCCCAAAGCGTGGTGTAAGGTCTTGTAGCAAGATATTCGCCCAGGGATTAGCAGGAAGTTCCACTTCCTTTCTCCAAGTAATAACCAGTTTTAATTGAGAACCCTTCAGTTCTTGCGTCTCCTCAATAACAACAGGCATGGATGGCTTGATCTGTTCAATAGGTATCAGAGGCCCTTTCACTGTAGTCTCTATGAAGTCGCGATGCAAGTTTATAATACGCACTATATCGCTGGCTTTATTAACAGAGAAATAAATGTTCACGTCGTCTGTTGGCACTAAATGCGCTTTCTTCCGTAACTTCTGAACTCTGTTTATTATCTCTCTAGCAAAACCTTCGTCAAGCATGTCCTGGTCGGGAGTAACGTTTAGAAGAATGAGAACATCGTTGTCGCTGTGCGCTTCGTATTGGTCGTTGCCTTGTGCCTGGAATATTATTCTAACTTCAAAAACATCAATGCGATGACCCATTAATTCAATGAACCCATCAGCTATAAGTTTCTCACATTGCTGATTATTAAGGCCCTTCAAAGCTTGAGTTATAGCCTTGAAATCTCCTTTCAATCTGGTCCCAAGAATTTTATGATCAGGCTCAGCTCTTAATGTAATACCGTACTTTTCTTTATCACTGGTTAGGTGCAATTTCTTAATATTCAACTCTTCTAGAACATATTTTTCCAAGGATTTAACGTCGTCCAAATAGGTGGAGTCACGGTGAATGACAATCATTTCTGGCAAAGGATACTTGATCGGTACTGTCTTTCTGTCTCTCACTACTCTTCCCAGTTCGATCACACTCTGCATTCTTTGAACAGCTCTTTCTATATCATTGTCCACTAATTCTAATTTTGGCTCTGAAATCATATTGAAGTGTACACTCTCAAGTGAACTGCCGGGCAAAAGTTGACGCAGTGTCTTATACATCAATTCTGTTAGGAAAGGTGTGAAAGGAGCCATCACTCGAACCATATCGTATAACACTCCGAACAACGTGTCTAAGGCAACCTGACAATCCTTGACTCCATTTTCTCCCTTCAACCTCTTCCTGTTCATTCTCAAGTACCAGTTGGTAAGGTGATCGATAAATTTCGTCAACCTTGGCACGACGGTGTACAATCTGTACGCGGCCATCTCCTTTTTAACGAATTGAATGAGCGATTGCGTAAAAGACGTTATCCACTTATCCATAACGTTTTCCCTTATTGCCTTCTCATTAAACCTATAGTCGATTTTATCCTCTTGGACGATTCTTTCAACATTTTGCATTAAGAATCTAAAAGCATTGTACCACGGCAAAAACACGTCTTTAATAATGTCCCTGACGCCTTCTTCTTTGAATCTAAGATTCTCTGCTTTAACCACAGGTGAATTAACAAGATAAAGCCTCAAAGCGTCAGCTCCATACTTGTTAACTACGTCTAGAGGATCAGGATAGTTCTTCTTTCTCTTAGACATCTTTTGCCCATCAGCGGCCAATACTAAACCATTTGCAATCAAGTTCTTAAAGGGTGGTTTCTTAAACAGAGCTGTTGATAAAACAATAAGGGTATAGAACCAGCCCCTAGTTTGATCAATTCCCTCGGCGATAAAATTGGCTGGGAAAATTTCTTCAAACTCTTTCTTGTTCTCGAATGGGTAGTGGAACTGAGCGTAAGGCATAGAACCCGATTCAAACCAACAATCAAAAACTTCCGATACCCTTTTTAACGGTGGATGTCCAGGACGAGACGAAGGAATCTCCAAATGATCAATGCTTTCTCTATGCAAGTCTTTTACCTCTTTTCCAGTCAAAGCTTCAAGCTCAGCAATACTACCTACACACACCACCTCCTGTCTGTCAGCAGAAATCCATAAAGGAATCGGTGTGCCCCAATACCTATTACGACTAATGGCCCAATCACGAGCTTCCTTCAGCCAATTTCTAAATCTCTTCTCCTTCACATATTCTGGCACCCAATAGGTCGCTTCACAGGACTTCAAAAGTTCCTGGTTCATTTGTTCGACTCTAACAAACCAAGAAGGTACCGCTTTATAAATGAGAGGAGTTTCAGATCTCCAACAGAATGGGTAACTATGCTTAATTTGGCCAACTTGGATAAGCCTGTTACGCGCCTTCAAATTAGCAATAATATTTTTGTCCGCATCTTTTACATGCTGGCCCAAGAAGTCCTTGACAGGTTCCATGAACCTGCCACTGGAATCAACTGGGCATATAATTTCCTGATCCCTAGTGATGATACCTGCTGCTAAACAGACCCTAAAGTCATCCTCACCAAAGTATGGTGCTTGATGGACAATACCAGTACCAGAGTCATCTGTAACGTAAGAGTCAACCAGCACTTGGAAGGCCTTAGGGCATCGATCAACAAAGTAATCAAAAATAGGTGTATATTTAATTCCTCTAAGCTTCTCCCCAGGAAACTTCTCAAGAACATCAAAATCTTCAACATTTTTGAAAACAACAGGAAATCTGTTTTCTTGGAGAACATAACAATTTCCAGTACTCTTCTCTTTGACTTTAACATAAATCAGTTTTGGGTTGACACAGAGGGTTATGTTGCTGGGAAGAGTCCATGGAGTGGTGGTCCAAGCAAGCAGTGAGAACCCTTCAGCTGTAGGGAATGAAACTACAACTGCAGGATCTACAACATCCTTATAGTTTTGTCCAGACTCAAAGTTAGACAGAGGAGTGGAGCAAGCTGTGGAGTAAGGCATTACTTTAACACCTTGATACACCATGCCTTTGTTGTACAGCTCTTTGAATACCCACCAGATAGACTCCATATACCACGGGTAAAGGGTTTTATAATCATTCTTGAAATCTAAAACAGAAAACAATATTATTGAAATATTGCCATTAAAGCAAATTAACATATTTAGATAGGTTTAAGTGGAACAACACTCACCAATCCAGCGACCCATGCGAGTTACGATTTTTTCCCAGTCCCCAGCATATGTCATAACAATTTTACGGCATTCAGCATTATAATTTTCAATGCCCATTTTCTCCACATCTTCAGGTCCTTTGATGTCCAGTTTTTTGTCAATTTCAAACTCTACAGGTAGTCCATGACAATCCCAACCAAATCGCCTTTCCACATGAAATCCCTGTATAAAAAAATATCTATCATTAATACTTCTTATTGAGTATTGACTTACTGAAATATTAGATCTTGTTAAGACATCTTTTAAAGTACATATTCATGAAGCAAAATGATCTATCAATTACAGACCTGCTGGTGTGCATATCTGGTGACAACATCTTTAATGGTCCCTGCGAGGATGTGACCATAATGTGGAAGTCCAGTTGCAAAAGGTGGCCCATCATAAAAGGAATACCTGAAAATTCATAAAAATCATTTTATGGCCTTTCCTAATTCTAACAAGTTTTTGGATTTTTTTCCGGTGTCTTGTGACCAATTTCAATACAGTTCACAATTTAAATGAAAGAAAATAATATTGTAAGTACTATTACACATATCAAATGAATTAATTTCATAGTTCCATCTGTTACACAAATAGTAGCAGAAAGAGGTAAAACTATCTATTTCCTGTTCTTTAGTGTTATTAATGGTCAATCTTAAAATTATTATTTATATTGAATGTAATTTTTATTTAAAAAAATTGATATGCATGTATGATTTTTTGTATGCTTTCTATTCATAGTGAAAAGCGCATCAACATGTTTCATAGACATTTCATCAGTTCTGTTTAGAAATATGATGCATAAAAGATGATGTAATATTTTGGAATATTGTTTATAAACAGGAGGACTTCTAGGAGATGGAGTACACCATTTCTGAAGAATGCAATGTTATAGCTTATGGGGCATTTATAATGTGAAGAAAAAAAAATACTTGAAACTTCATGTTCTAAAACCCTAATGACTCTAATGGTTCTAAGATAATTATGCAGGATGATGACAGTAAGCGGACCAGCAATAAATGATATTTTGACAATTAAAAAAATATGGCTAGGGCAGACCCAATAGCTCCGTCACTTTTGCTAAGTATCAGATAGTAGAAGTGCTATAAAAAATTAGTGTTTGGACAGTGGGTCTTAGTTGGGTTGTTCTTGGTGTGAAAGAGATAGTTTCAAGTAATAAAATCTAATGGATTATCGTCCCTAAAATGACCCACTGACCAATTATTCTAAACAATAAAATATTTATTAATGTTAATAGTATCCAAATCGTTTTCAGAAAAAATTTCATCATCCGGGCGATATCTCTTTTCCATGTCGCAGGAAAAGGAACGCCGTATGGTGCGCTATTATAGTACGAATTCCAATGAGATACTTAGAAATACACAATACCATATAATATAAGTGGTATTCAATAATTCACATCGTTTTAATGTACTATCAGACACAATTTATTTTAAAATATGAACAAAATCGCGGAATATTTAACCTTACCTTGGTTTATTTTTTGACTGTTTCAAACAACTTTGAAATGCGTCGATTTCTTTCCAAAAGCTAAGAATTTTCTCCTCTTCTTTTGGAAAGTCAATGTTTTCAGGTACTCGATTTACTTTTAGAGCCATTGTATTTTATAACCTTTTTTAATTCCACATCATACACCACACTTGCACTTGCGTTAAGTTGCGTTGCGTCAGACAACGAAATGACATGTTGTCAATTTATCATTTGTCATTTTGGAAGTTTTAAAACGTTACTGACTCGGCAGATAATATTTCATTTCTTTGAGACACAATTAATGTAGGTCTCGACTAAAGGACAACTGCTATTATTCAGAAATCTTTATTTTTTTTTTGTTAAGTCAAAAGACAACATTTTTATAAGATTATTTATTGATTTTAAAAATAATGCCCTCGGTTCCAGACGAAAATGCAAAAAGTCAAGGAAGATTATATGCACTAGCAACAATTTACTTAAAACTGAAGTGACATTTTCTATCAAAAAGTCAAAACAAAGTTGCAGAAAAGAAAGTTGTGAATTCTTATTTACAAAAATCATCAAGTTATTGAAAAAATACTTAAAATTTTTAGTTCGGTACAATGGATTGCAATTGGATAAAAATTTCGCCAAGGCAAATTATTAAATTATTTAGTTAAATTGATAAGTGGACAATATCCAAATGACTAATGCCTACAATTGTTATAACACTAATATTTGATTTCAGTTTGAGCAAAGGCGTTGGTACGATAAATCAGCTAGACGACGCCCGATTCGAACAGTTTCTTCGTCGAATAGTTGCAAAGTTGAAACTTCAGACTTCAGAAATATTTACAGAAGATGAAAAAACCAAACTTGAGAAAATATTTGGTATTGACCAAGAAAACTTAGTTTTGAGCATTAAAACTTTGCAATACATATTTAAAAGAATGCTGAAATATATATTTATGCCTGCCAATTTGAAAAACGAACTCAAAGATATAGGATTTAATAATGAAAAGTCTGATTCACTGGTTAAAGTTTGGTCAGCAGAGACAAGAACAACTCTTAATGAACTTGGTTCTACAACAAATGAAAGAAGTGATTCTTTGAATTTTTCATGGAAATTAAATGCTGAATTAAGTTCAGATTACCGAAAAAAGTGTAAAGTCCCGAAAGCTTATTTGTCACTAAGAGACACAAAAGAAACGGAAATAGAATTGACCCATCCTGAGTTATATTCAATTTTTCTTCAATTTGAATCCATTCAGAACGACTTGGACAATCTAATTAAATAAAAATTTACTGCACCACTTATTAAAGTGGAATAGGTATGATGTGATTCTATGTGATGGACCAAGACGATGATATTAATTGTTATCATAGTAAAAAAATCAAATTCAAATTAAAATTCAAACATTTTGAATTTTAATTGAATTAAAATAAAAAATATCAAGCCTAGATATTATAAAGGCAATCTTATAAAACTTGGTCTAAATGTTATATTAGTTAAAATTTTACTCTACTTATGTTAAAAATGCTATTCAATCACCAATTATGTTCAATCTTTTTTGTTTGAGGTACTGTTACTGGATATGTTATTAGTAAATTGTTGATATATATAAAAGCCTTATTCTAAATAAATATTTTTTGTAAATATTTTCTTTTATTTTAAACACCTTTTTTAATTTTATAATTTCGATTTAATATACTTACTCTTAACGGGAGATCTTGGATCTACTATCAAGCCTACAACAATTCATCAAGGTATTTAATAAAGTGCCTGAAAAATACAAGAAAATGTCCATATCTATATTGATTAATTGATGGATCATCATAAATGTTATTGTAACTATCTAGGTATCCTAACTAATAACAAATAAGGAAGTGTTGTTTGTTATTGTTATCTCTTTACAGTCTACATACTGAAGCAATTTTCATAGATGCTAGATATAGTTGGGAACGAAGAACATAGGCTGGTCAGACTATAAGGTTCAAAATAGGTAGGTAGGATAATTTATTATTTTATTCATACAACAGAGGCAATGTTACTGAATGAAGTTACATGGTTCGGAGCACGGTCTTTTAAGTTTTATATTGATAGGACTGTAAAATATTGAATCTCCAATTTTCTCTTACTTTATTTAAGATCAATATTTTAATAATGTATCAAAAAGTTTGATTATGTCCTTCCATAAACAAAAAGTTATTTAGTAAAGCCAAAACAAACATGGCGTCTGTTAATTGATTAAAGGGATTACCATTTTTTTTACCTGGTAACCCAAGCTAACCCATACGTCAGAGGTTTTGGCAGCCCGCGGGTGAACTATTTTCTTCATTGTTGACCTTTCCTAAATCTTAGGTGTAATTATTTCATCATTAGACGTACTCTGGCTGCACCCTTATTATCTAGTATACATATTTAGTCAACGTTTCGGCGATGGACTCCGAAGATGACACAAAGGACGATGTGGATTCTGGGAATGAGTCTAGCGGAGACGATGTCGACTTTGCAATGGACGTTGAGACACACAGTACACGGGAACGACAAACGGAGCTTGAGGAATATCGATATGAGGTGTTATCCACGGAGGAAATCGTTCAGCATATGGTTGACTGCATCAAAGAAGTGAACACTGTTGTCGAGGTCAGTATGTTAGTGGTAAACAATGGACTGATGGAATGAGGTTACTCGTACACTGTTGTACTTCTCCGAGTTCTTTTGTGTCGCATTCCAATTTGTTTGTGTTCGATATGGCGAAACATTCTGCGTTACTAGCCTAGCTAGGAGCACAGTTTGGTAATGTTTAGTGCTGATAGCTTGGGTAGAATACTCTTGTTCCACAAACCTAATTTTCATATAAATTACAAATAACAATCGTTTCACCTTGTTAGTTGTTATTTATGTTGCCATATCTACAATGCAATAGTGCATGTTCATAGTAATCAGTAAAGGAAATAGTTGCAAATAGAATGCATTAAAATATTATAACAAAGGTTTGCTTGAAGTAAGAATGAGTCATAACAATGATGACTGTTTTGATAATTATCTGATGCTAAAATGCTTCTGTTTATGTATAAACATTAAAGAGTTGTACTTAACAATATTGCCATTGTCAAATATCTTGATAACATATGAAACACTTGCATTATTTTGTTTCAAATTAATATGTGATAAAGTTTATCAAATGAGGTATGGATTGTTTAAAACTCTTTAGGCATTACATACATTTTCCTCTACATGCTTTTTGTATAAACTAAAGTATGTAATTGCATTTTCAGATACCAGCAACAACAACCCGCATACTCTTAAACCATTTCAAATGGGACAAAGAAAAGCTCATGGAAAGATTCTATGATGGGGACCAAGACCAGTTGTTCTCTGAAGCTAGAGTCATTAATCCATTCAGAAAACCAGTCATACAAAGGCCGAAGGTATGAAAACATATATTCATTTACATTGCAAGGTTGTTCACAAATAAAAAGTACAATTCTCATTTATAAATCCTATCAACAAGGTAGTATCAAAATTACAATGAGTAAAATTAAATCACTACCATTCAATTTATTTTGCTATGGAATGCCATAAAATTCTACAAAAATGTCACTCAAGTTTTAAATTTTATTAGTGAACAATGCTTTTAAATAATCATTATAGGTATCTATTATTTTTAATGTGTTGCCTCATTTACAATATAAGAATTGAGCAATGGGAAATCCAAAGTAGGTTCCTTTTAACATCATTTTTGTACTGTAACTTTCAGCCTTTTTGTAATTATAATGTTTTTTGCTGCTGAATAATGTGATTCTAAAGTAAGGTAAAATGGAAACTTTTCACAATACATTTTGATGAGACCACAGAATCAACATATTTATAAACAGTGTACTTATTTTGATGTATCAACATGACCCAGAAAAATAACTGAACAAACATTATAAAATGTATTATTAATTTATTTATTACTATATACATAATTGCATTTATGAGAACTGACCTAAATTTGTATTACAAATACAATTTTTTCTGTTAAAACTATGTTAAAATTATAGTTATCAGGTAACCAGATTTGTTTATAATTAGGAAGTGAATCTATACCCATATAATATGGTGAAGGGCAAAATTCTCTATGCATATTAAATTATATAAGTTACACTAGATACTTTGAAATACTGGATTCTTGCAGCAATAAATATTTCTGTTTTTGTTTTCCCTTTCGATTGTAAAACTGACCGTCATAACATAATTCTGTTTATGCCCTTATCTCCTATATCATAACACACATATTGGCATTATTCCAGTATGCACTTTATCTGAATCTAAATCTATCTGATAAGGAAATGCATTGTTATCAGGATGCAGTTGCTAACAGGTTTCTTATTGTAATCTTTCATTATGGTTTGAGGTAATCTGGTCATAGAGAGATAATATCTTAATTTTATGGGTACTATCATTTTTACTCATTGTAATAGGATACCATGGGCTCCATAGAGTGTGAAGATTTATTTACCAATCACACAGCAAGTTCTTCACAAAAGCTTGCTATCATGAGCATCTCTTTCTTCAGAATATGAATCATATGAGTTCAAAAAGATACTTTGTAGATAAATATTTTAATATTTTATATGATTATAATATTTTAAATAAACATTGTGCTTCATTTGGATTTTGTCCCATATTGTAACGACAATTTGTGGATCACACAAAGAGCTGTTTTATGCCGAAATCGAATAGCCCATAATCGCGTCAACTGTGCCGTTAGTAATTTTAATCCTACCAACATTATAAATGAATAAGTTTGTGAGAATGAATGGATGTTTGTATATTATTTTTTCACTTGGTATGTATGTAGGTGATACTCTTGATGCGGGGGAAGCCGCGGGCGCGTCTAAAATTAAACTATTTAACACAATTATTCAAAGTTATGTAATACTTATAGATGAAGGTAAGATTGATTTATATGTTATATTGTTATTTTTACAGTTACCCAGACGGATATCGACATCAGGGACAGAGGAATGCGAAATATGTTTTTCAGTTCTTCCAACATCTGTAAGTGTTTTGAAGTTTATCTTGTTTTATCTTGTTTTTGTTGTGCCCCAAAGGAAACTGATTAGATATAACTAATTAAATAACATTAGGTTTTTCACCTTTGCCTTGTTTATTTCAAGTACTTAATATTATTTGTGTAATGTAGAGATCTTTTAATGATTACTAGATTGAGATATTCTTTGTTAAGGTTTATGATAATAGTCTAGAAAAGTTCGTTGATACCAATCAAGCCTATAATAGGAAATTTTTATATATAAAAATAGATTGTATAATGTGTTGGTAAGCTCATAACTCAACAACCCCTGAACCAATTTTGCTAAATCATTTTTTGTTATGTTTGTTATAAAGTCGGGAGAAGGTTCTTCTCAAAGAAAATATATGAAAATTAGAGGGGAAGATTAGTAAAAAGTGACCCTTTGATAACGAGATAGTTGGACCCGTGCGAAGTGGGGGTGGGCCGCTAGTATATTATAAAAAAGTCAATTTGTGTCTGTCCTTAATTCATATTGTTTACGTCTGTATTTAAGTATTTAGCTTTATGGGTAGATAAAAACAACAAAGAATTGATTTTTTTAATCTTTAAACATTATGCTTTTTCTCTGCAATATTTGTAAATAATTCTTATTAATACTTGGTACCTATATCGATAATAAGTACTACACATAGTATATAAATGAGGTCACATCACAATTATCATGCTAAAAATTTTTCCTTGTTTTCATAAGATTTCCTTGTTACAATACAATTTCCTTATTTGTCTTTATATTTTTTTTATTTCTTACGAGCAAAAACAATATTGTATATTGTTGAGAGAAAACAATATTGTTTTTGTATTGACATTTTGGTACTTATAGTTGGCTGTAAGTTTGTATTCCAGGAATACAATTCCCCTCTGTTAAATAGTAGCTATTTTGATAAGTTACATAAGGTGTTGGTTTTTAAAAGCACACATATGATAATTCTTATTATGTTTTCAGCTGATGACAGGTCTGGAGTGTGGCCACAGATTTTGCACACAATGTTGGTGTGAATATTTAACTACTAAAATAATGGAGGAGGGCCTAGTAAGTATTGATTATATGATTATTATTCCTTTTAAACTGTCTTCTCTAAATGGCTTGCGATTGCTGGAAGAAGCTAGGTCTACTAAGCTAGTGAAACTTCCTGGATGATGATGGTGTTAATGTTGTATATCAGTCAGTGAAAATTTTCAGAGACTGGTCTTTATGTGAGGTCGGCAAACAACGAGTAGACGCATCACCTGATGGTAAGCAATCAGTCCATGGACTTGGAGTCTTAGAGATTGGAAGATGGGGGAGTATTGGGCCTCTAGAAACCTCGTTTTTTATAAGGCATGGTATCACTCCGGTCAAGACGGCCTATGCGTGCCGAAGCATTTCTTTCCCACTATAAATTCTTCAGTCTTCTAAGGAAGTAGAATATTATAAGAACACAACAGAGAATAATATAATACTTTGATTTATGTAACAGCCAATGTCCATCGTTAATCGAATGCAAATTTACGCGCACATTAATACTTTGTCGAATGATAATCGGTCATGACTCATGGACATTAAG